TTCCTCTTGTAGCATTTTTTCAGATATTTCTGAACATTTAAAAAATTGATATTTTCAAAGAAACAAACAATTAATCTGGAGAACAGGTGTACACTAGCACTTTTTGTTGAGTAAGATTTACTAAGCAATTCCTGAACAGATTTGTAAGGGTGGTAGCTCCAAAAAGCTTACAATTTTCAAGCATCAGTATTGTTTCTCAAGCATAGAAACCCTTTATAACATGAGTTTTGTTGGGTTCATTTTTTTCCATCTCAATGGAAACTTCATTAAGAAATCACAACATGGTGAACAAAAGGTTTGTTATGCTGCAATTGGTCAGTTTGTCATAACAATATTTTCATAAAATGCACCCTATAGGATTTCTGCCTAGAATTTGAAAAAAGTTTGCTGTACTGAAACATTTGTTTTAATGGTATTTGTAACAAGATTTTACTGTATTATTGTGTCCTGAAACATGTTAAGAATACTTTGTGTTCATTCCAGTGTGTGGTTCTACTTCTCCTCTCATAGAAACTTGCTCACAAAAACAGTGTCATCATTGTGTCTGGTTTTTCTGTCTGGTTACCGGTCATTCCCCTTTTCACCACAATTGTTTCAATTCATGCTATTGCACAGTCATCCACCTTTTGCAAGAGTGTATAAAGCGAGGCATGTGTATATGCATACTCACTCATTGTCAATCTGTTCACTGTTGCATATAGAGGAAATATATTCACACTCTAAAACAAGAAGTCTCATTTCACTCAAAATTGACCCTGGCCATAAGAACTAAAGCTTCTTGTTTGAAAGTTCATCCTTGGGAAAGATGCAGGAGAAAACTTTTTGAGTATTGCAAAGAGACATTTTTGCAGTCTCATAAAGTTTCTTTTATTGAAAACCGAAAATAAGGATAACATTGTGCTGATGAGAACAGGTTATCATTGAAACTTGGTTAATCTCAATGCACTCCAGATGAAATTGAATTGGGTTTGTTCATGACACTGACTTGACATTTCCAGGATAATCAGTTGGTAACCAAACACATCACAAAGAAACTCAAGACAACACAATGGGTGAAGTTATTTATTTGGTATGCAGTTGAACCTTGATAACTCAAAGCTCCCCAAGTCAAATTTCTATTTTGGAAGTCTGTGTCTGAATTCTCTTGTAAAGCATGCATTAAAAGCATCTTAAGCTCAAAGGATTTTCCTCTCAAAATACCGTAACTCAAATTTTCTGGAGGTCTTTTTGGCAATTGTTTCATGGGCACAGTAAAGAGAAAAAGCAAGAAAAAAATAATGATGTGTTTTGAAAGGAAGCTGAAGACAAATTGGTCAAATGAACCCTTTGCCTCCAAGTTCAGCATCCTGTCAACTCATTCATGATGCAATTTAAATCCCAGAATATTAACATTAACACTTCCCTGGAATTTTCATGCGTTTTGCAAAACAAAAAAGCTTGCTTCCCCAACTCGAATTTTTTTTTTTTGCTAGTCCCTTTAAAATACTACGGTACTCGAAGGGCTTTGACTGCAGTGGCTAGATTTATTATCAACAAAGGTTTACATTCAAACTCAACGCAGGAGAAACGAAAACAAACCTTGAGGATTTCATCCTGCTCGTAATGCTCTTGCGCAGTTAACCCACTCTCCTTCACCGGAGCATCCGGCTTCAAAAACGAGTCATTCGAATTGGAACCAGATGCGATCTGAGCCGCCCATCCGGAATTCGTGGCGCCTCCAGTGCCACCAGCACCACCGCCAACGGCAGCAGTAGTAGCACTGCCACTGCCACCTCCTCCACCGCCGCCGCCGCCGCCACCACCAACAATAGTGCCGCCACTACCGCCGGTAGGCTTCTTCCTCAACGACGCCCCCTCCTTCTTCTTGGCCAAGTTTTTCCGCAGTCGTTCGATGCTCTCGCGCAACTGTTGCGTGCTTTCCTGCTTCTTGGCCAGGTCTTGAAAGGCGTAGCCGTCTTGCCAGTTTTCCTGGTAACTCGCTCCGACTCGTTGCGTCACGAATTGGCCGAGTCGCAGGCGGTTTTGCATGCACTTTTGGCGAATCTCCTTCTTCTCAATCGTGGACTTCTCCACCAACAGCTTCTTGACAACGTCCACGCATTTGGTCACTTGGCTCTTGTGCAGCTCGCCGGCCTTGTTCAACGCCGACAGCTTCTTGTCCATTTCATCCTTCTCCTGCAAAAATTGAAAAAAAAAAATATATATATATATATACAGTACAGTGAGACCCCAACATGCAGACAATTCGACATGGGGACACTTATTTTCCTTTAAAAAATTAATAAAAAAGGCCATACATGCAGACACTGACTCAACGTACCAACATTTTGTTATAAAATTGCAAATAAGTTTCAGGCCAAATTACGAGAAACAGATATTTCCAACCCATTTACCATCCATTTAGCTAATTCAAAAAAATTACCTCCAGCATAGAGGGACTTCCTTCTCTCTTTTCCACTAGAATGTTAATTTTACAGAGAATGCCAACATTTCTATGCACTGTTCAGAGGTATCAGTATTCAATTCCCAAAAGTGCATGCATATTGCGTTGAAATATATTGATTGAATCAGTTTGAATTGGGAGACAATTTTTATTCTCATGGAATTATGGTGAGTATTTTGTACATACAACACCAACTAAAAATTATATATAATGTAAGTCTACGGGAAAATGAGACTTGACTTAGGGACACTCTTGATGCACCAATTATGTCCACATCTCGGGGTCTCACTGTATTTGCATCATCTCCCCATTTCAGTTTTATGGGACAGGTCCTGTATTAATTCGTAGGCTAGAATTTGACGATTATGGGTCATGACTCATGACGGTGTAAAATGCGTGAAAATTTCCCACATTCTTCTTTGAAAGTGAACCAACAGTCTATATTGATTTTTTTGCTTCCCCAATGAAACATATTGCATGTGTCTTCCGCATTCAAACACTCGCAGAAATCTCAGAATTTGATTTCTCAGAAACTTCGATATTGTATCACAAATATAAAATTTTTAGAAGATTAAGCATTTGATGTGGTGACAAATTGCAATGGAGCGTCATCTGATGAGGAAGAGAATGCATTGCAGATGTCATTTCAAATATTTTAAAACTGAATAAAAAAAATAAAACGCAAATAATGTCGAACAAACCAGAATCTGGGCGACGAAATGATGACAATTCCTTGTGCTTGAATTTGATTTCTTTTTAAATAAGAAGCTAGTAAAAATACAAAATTAGCCCAGCTGTCCCGAAAACTTTCCATTGAGTAATCATAAATAACAATTTTAAATCAGTTCAATCTTCAAATCAAATTAGAAATGTTTTTTTAAATCAACATTTGAACAATCAACTGTTTCGAAACAGGAATCGCTCGGTACTCACCCTTTCCAGGTCTTCGATCACATGATTTTCAAAATGAAAAGGCATTTCCCTAATCTTAAATTTAAAGGAATTATTTAAAATTAAAATTAGTCGAGTTGTCCCGTAATATTTCCATTACATTTCCCTCTACACTGATTAAAAAGAGGAATTGCTGGATCAGCACCCTTTTCAGGTCTTCGACCACATGATTTTCAAAATGATGAAAGATTTCTCTGATTTTCAAGTTAATTAAAATCAAAAGAAATTAGTGAAGTATAAAATTACTCGAGTTGTCCCGAAACGTTCCCATTAGGTTTCCACATACACTGGGTTAAAACAGAAATCGCTGGATCCTCACCCTTTTCAGTTCTTCCGTCACATGATTTTCAAAATGATGAAACATTTAAATATTTTAAATAAATTGGTAAAAATCCAAATGAGTCGAGTTGTCCTTTGGTTTCCCCACACACTCTGTTGAACAGGAATCGTCGGATTCTCACCCTTTTCAGGTCTTCGATCACATGATTTTTCTCCTCCAGCGACGAGTTCTGCTGCGCCTCAACTTCGCTCATCATTTTCCCCGTCAAATCCGTCTGCATAATCAACAACACATTCATCTGAATTATCTCACCAGTGAATGAAAAACGCACAGAGACTTGGAAGTCTAGATACTGTAACGTACAAAATTCTGAAGGAAAGAGAAGAAGAAAAACAATAATAATTGGAAGCTTAACACGGAGCAATAGCAACATCCTTCCGCCTGAAAATGGTAAGCAATTTAGTAAAATTTCGCGATAAAATAAAAATGTTTCCCAGCGCTACCAGCTTCAAGAGCTCTCCTAGAATCACCAAGAACGACGACACACCGAAAACAATCTCAACCGGGTTTTATTTCACAGCGTTTCTTTTGCTCAAGACTCAATCGAATCATTCTTCAAACGTCACATTCCACAGCAGTTTTTTTTTTTTCGTTGTTGAATTTATTACCTGAGTAGCGCAAGTGCGAGTGGATGTGGAAGACGAAGAGGCATTCAAGAGAGTCTGACTCGGGGCAGCGACACTCGTATTGATAGTTATTGGCATTCGCAGAAAGTTGTTCTGCTCACAGGACGAAGGCGATTCGAACCGAGGCAACATCACGGACCCGTCCGAAGACCCCATCGGAGACGTCAGCAAACTGCTCGGACTCGGCGGGAACTGAAGCAAACAAAAGACACGCTTGGATTAAAATTTTCGAAACGCAAGTGAAAATTTCGTTACAACGAAGCCATTCGGACCAGTAAAGAAAAAACAAAGCTTCGTTCTCAAGAAATAATTGTGATACAGGAAAGGAACCCTTTCCAGCATTGTGGCTATTGGACAGGGACCTTAAAAAGGACTTCATTGTAATCTATTACTCGTTATAACGAGATTCTATTGCATACAAATACAATGGGCCCCAAGATGCGGAAGTAATCCTAGTCCCTCAGATGACATGTCTGCATATTTAATCATCTTTCCCCATATACTTCAATGGTGATTCTCCGGTCATCTGAAATTTGGAAAAAGCCCCTCAAAAATTGAAAAAAAAATGTATTCTCTTGACTTCAACATACAGAAAATAACTGTGCAGCAAAAACCCATGCACAAATCTTTCCACACTCTGTTCAGATGATGGAAAGACCTGTGAAAAAATACGCATATAATAAGCCTGTTTTGGACTGTGAATTATTTTAGAATTTTAAAAAGAACATTCAGAAGAGAAGCACAAAATTAAAATGCTTTTGATTATAAATTAGGTGCATTTATAAAAACATGCATTTTTAATTTTTTAAGGTAAGTATTGTACTGTAACTCGATTTGTTCACAAGATAAACAATTTTTAAAATGAATGTTTCCGTTTTACTCGAAATTTTGGCGAAGTCTTCACATCTCCAACCATTTTCTAGATGCTGATCAGATTTTTTTTTTCAAGTGTCTCTAAGTTGAATCGTCCGCATCTCGGGGCTTCCATCCCACAATATGCACTCACATGAAAACGAATTCATTTGGATGATTACAAAACATTCTTCTGCAGCACTGCTGAAGATAAGTTCAGAGCTGAATCCCATATTTACTGGAATATGACCTCAACTTCATTTTTCGAAAGATACAAGTAATAAAATCAAGCGTCTCACGCTAGATCGTGTCTTGAACTCGTTAGAATCTCACACTACACATTGAACACAGTAGTCAATAAAACAACTGAACGAAATTGAATTCTCTTCAAAATTTTCTATCCAAGAGTATGAATTAAAATTTTTCTTTACAGAGGAATTTCCGTCGAAGAAAAGATACTGCTGGAACTCCAGTAGAATTTACACAAAAATGAATGCATCTGTGCCTCACACTTCCATAAAAATAGAAGTTTTTTCAAATACAGCAAGACCCCAATATGCAGACGTAATTGGTGCATCAAGAGTGTTCCTAAGTCAAAATCCCCCTAAGTTGAGTCTCATTTTCCCTTGAACTTACATGATATAATTTTTAATTGGTGTTTTATGGACAAAATACTCACCATAATTCCACAAAAACAAAAATTGTTCTTCAATTTAAACTGAGCCAATCAATATATTTCAATACAATATGGACATTTGGGGAATTAGAAACTGATACCTCTGTATAGTACACAGAAATGTTGGTATTCTCTGTAAAAATAACATTCAAGTGAAAAAGAGAGAAGGAAGTCCCTCTCTGCTGGAGTTAATTTTTTTAAATCAGCTGAATGGATGGTAAATTGGTGAGAGAAATCCCGAAGAACTTCTCTTACATCAATTTTAGGGTTATTAAATATCTGTTCCTTGTAATTTGGTCTGAAACTTATTCGCAATTTCATCACAAAATGTCCCTATGCTGAGTCAGTGTCCTCATGTGGGATATTTTTTATTAATTTTTTGTGGGGAAAATAATTGTCCCTATGTCGAATTGTCCGCATGTGGGTGTCTCGCTGTATTTTTTCGAAGCACAAAACAGAGTTACGCTTCACAATCGACTTCATTTTAAACGCGAGTAGAAGAAATTGTTTTTATTCACGGGGATAAAAGCTATTCTCTCATTCGAGCCCATTAACCGAGTCACCCACCACACGTCTTTCACGGAATTCACGTAATCAATAATCACCAATTGAAAACTGAGTTGTCCCGGAGGCGAAGGACTGTTGAGCTTTCCTTGTCGACGAGACGGCGAGGAGCATCGGGGTTCGTTCGCCGACGCCGCCGCCCTGGCCGCCTTCTGCTGACTTTTCGAAAACTGGCCCTTCCTCTCGGCGCTCCGGTCCCGAGACACGTTGCTGTCGGTCCTCTTGCGCTTCCGCTCAATCGGGGTCTTCATCACATTCTGGCTCAACTCCACCAAATCACACATTTCTCCAACAGAGCCTGAAAATTCCAGAAGGACGCGATGAATAATTTTCAAGTGGAAACCCGGTGATATCTCAGGTCAGGTGTAACGAACGTCTCGAGTGACTCAGGATTTCAATTCCCATTGTATACATTTCATTAGGCTTCGTTAGGTTCGAGTTACTCCCGAGTTCCCGATTGAGGCGACATCTCGGTCACATTCGGGCTTGAATCACAAGTTTCTCCGACTGAGCCCATCTCTTCCACAACAACACGATGCACAATTTTCAAGTGAACCCCGTTTAAATCGCCCAGGTGTGTTTCACCACATAGAATGTCCCCCGAATTTTTAAAGATTTAAATTCCTATTGAGAAAATTTGTGCTCCCATTTTATTACGCTTCGTTAGGTTTAATTTACTGCACTCGAGAGTTTCAGATTGAGGCGACATCTCAGTGATGCTCGGAAAGCTTCGCGAATTCAGATCATAAGAAAAACCTTTTCCCAATTTCCACAACATACAAGTTACTTCCCGTTGAAAATTTCTTGTGATTCGATGAAGAACTCAAATTGGAAGTTTTTTCAGGAGGTTCGACAATCTGGAGCATTTTAAATTTGCTATTAGAAACAGGAAATAGCACATCACGAAGAATTAATTCCTGTAACATATTGGAAATGAAAATGACCGAACTAAAAAACATAGGTTAAAATTCATGGTCAGTACAGTACGTCAATCTCTCTTTAATTTACATACACTGGGTACAGGTAAACTTTGGTAGTACTGCATAAAAGGTTTTATCCATTTGCAGGTACAGTACAGTACTTTACTGTACTGTACATGAAAATATCTGAAAGAAAAACCCACTGTGCGTCTTGCTCAAGGACATGTGGTACTTGAGTAAAAGCGTTAATTTCACTCAGTTTCCATTTGATTCAATTGAAAAAATTTTCCCCAAAATTTTCAAATCAGAATCACATAAGAAGCATGTCTACACTTTAAAAATGTTCCAAAAATTGTATCCCCGACTATGAGACCCCCTCTCAACTTTGAGGAAAAACGTTTGAGGATGAACCTTTTTTGAGTCAAATTTCAAAAAGATCAGCAATAAAATTCTAGTTAGAGGAGCAAGCATTTCTGTTGTGGGAAAGGCAGGAAACTTTCAGGAAATTTTAAATGTTGAATTTCTGGGATTTAAATTGCGTTGTGAATGAGTTGATGGGATGCTGAACTTAGAGACAAGGGTTATTTGCCCAATTAGNACTTGGAGACAAGGGTTATTTGCCCAATTAGCCTTTTAATTCCTTTCAAACACATCAAGATACTTTTTTATTGCTTTCCTCCCTCTCTTGTGTCTGGTAGAAAATAACAGTCAAAGACCTCAGAAAATTTGACCCAGGAAGGTTTGAGAAGAAAAGCCTTCAAGAGAATTCAGACACTGACTTGAAAAAGAAATTTGACTGAAGGAGGTTTGAGTTATCAAGGTTCACCTGTATACCAAATAACATCATCCATCTTGTCATCTTGGGTTTGTTTGTGATGCATAGGCTTACTAACTGATTATCCCAGAAACTTCAATTTAGTGTTGCAAACCATCCCAATTTAATTTAATCTTAGATGCTTTGAGGTTCAACCAAGTTTCAACAAGACCTGTTCATCAGCAACAACAAGAAAGGAATCTTGACCAATGTGATGGTCTCCAATGCTTCAAGAGGTTTCTAATGCACTGTTTCCAAGGAAATATAATTTTAACTGGTGTTTTACGGGCAAAATACTCTTCATAATTCCATGAAGATAAATTTTTTTTTCCAAATGAAACTGATTCAGTCAATATATTTAAACACAGTAAGGACATTTGGGGAATTGAATACTGATACCTCTGTATGGTCCATAGAAATGTTGGCATTCTCTGTAAAAATTATATTCAAGTGAAAGAGAGAGAAGAAAGTCCCTCTATGCTGAGGGTAATTTTTTTCATCAGCTAAATGGATGGTAAAATTGGTGAGAGAAATCCCCAAGAACTTTCCTTACATCAATTTTAGGGTAATTTGGCCTGAAATGTATTTGCAATTTCATCACAAAATGTCCCTATGTTGAGTCAGTGTCCATGGGAAAATAAGTGTCTCTATATCGAATTTTCCACATGTCGAGGTGTCCGCATGTGGGGGTCTCACTGTAAGTCAACACACGGATAAATTCGAGTTATCGAGGTTCAATCTTAATTTACGCACACATTTCGTTCGCAAGCTTACACGACAGAGGAACAACATCAAAACGTCGTCAAACATCCGTCACTTCGTCGTAACACGTACCTCCGCTGAGACTCCTGGACCCATCCCCGTTGTTGAGCACCACAGGCGTGTCACCACCACCACCACCACCGGCAGTGTGCAAGATATTCCGGAGTTGGTTGCAAGGAGGCTGCGACTGAGCGTGTACTTCCGGTTTGAATGTCTGGTAGTGCGACGCTTGTCCGGATGCTCCGTTGCTCGCTGAATGACCCACTCCCGTGTGACCGAACGCGCTTTGCCTCTCCGGCATCTTGAAAAATAAAAACACATATGTCACACACAACACGGGTATTAAAATCGAATGCGCGCATCAGCTGTACGGTATTGTACATTTATACCGTACTGTGATTCCAGTCGACAGTTGAGGTTGCCGTTGGAATGAATACATAGCTGGTAAACCCTAACACGAAGTTGATTCTAAAATTCAACACCAATGCTGGGCTCAATCCGTCAGCGGAGATTTGAACCTCTTCAAGTCACAATTCGAAAGACCAGCAAAAAAAAAAAAAACGAGCTACAGAAGATTCGAGTGACGGAAAAGAGAATTTTTGAAGAATTGCAAAAAAGTGGAATTTATGGGGCTTTGAATTGCTTCATAAATGAGTTGACGGGATGCTGAACCTGGTGGCAAGGGTTCGTTCGCCCATCTCATCTTTCACACCCATTCAAATATTCGAAACTCGATCGTCAGATTTTTTATCGCTTTTCTCTTCCCCGTGTCAAAAAAAAAGTCTTCGTGTTAGATGCGTTACGAGTTCTCCAGGTTAAACCGTATTTCTTTTTTTTACGATGCAGTATCAAGTTGAAAAATTAAGTTCGTTTAGTTCAGCCCTCGAATTTCAAAAAATTGTCTTCAAGTGGGACGGTTGAAATTTTTTTACATACGCGCTCCCGCAATAAAACGACACCGTCGACATTATTTTCAAGATGCAACACTAGATCGGTTTCGACTCGGATTTTCACACAGAAAACACTCAAATTTTGTCGCAAGAAAGTGACACTCCCGTCTTCTTACGATTTGTTCGGGAAAATGAACGAACGATTTTCTCACGTAAGAGTTACGCACATGCGTGAACATAATTTCTTCGAGAAACCGAAGGAATATCTCTTGCAGAAGATGAGATTTTGAATGACACTGTAGAATCACAACAACGTCATGTAGAATCGGGGATATTTTTCTTACCCGCATCAACGGGCCTGGGGTGTCCATGAAACGAGCTTCAAGCAGTTCTCTCTTCCTCGGATTCAGAGTCTGGACCTTCTCCATTATCGATAGAAAGTCATCACAATCCACGCGGAGCAAGAATCATTCACCACAATCGTCACGAATCTCTTCATCACTGCACTCCGCATGAATCCTTCGAAATAGAGAGATTTCAAACAATAAATTCTGGTTTAGTTGGTCAAACATACATGGTAACAGTTGCACCTCCAGTGCTTAACTTCCCGTCAACCCTGACACTGATTTCCCCGATTTGAAAGCAATTTTAAGGCGAAATAAACGAGTATCTTCAGAGATCTTTCAAGAACTCAAGCGCGAAGCTCGTGAAAATTAGAACGATTCACAAGTTCGTCAAAGGATCTTCTTGAATCGAAGAATCGTCAAAATTCACGCGGAGCACAATTCGATCACAATCGTCAACAGATTTTCACGCGAAATCATGAAAATCACGAGCTTATCGAGAGACATTGCGGCAATCACATCATTGACAAACACTCGTGAAACATAGAGGGTGCCGGTATTTGAACATCACAGCTTCGAAATCCCCGTGAATTCTGTAAAACTTTTACGATTCCAAATGTGAACTGGCGTGGAAAATGTTCGCAAGTTGGAATTCCGCGAGGTTCCCAACAAGAACTGACTGACAAAAAACCGGGACGATTCGACACGTTAACATCAATTGAAGCTACGAGGTTTAGAAGAACTCGGTTCACTATCGTCAATTCACGTAGTGTGTAATAGCCGCCTCGAAAAATCACGCCAGATATTACTCAAATCATGAACGACCAACGGTGAAACTGAGTAAAGCCGGTTTCACTCATTGCTGATCGATGTTCCGATAAATCATCCAACGTTTGAGATGTTAATCTTATTCATTTCAAAAAGCAAGCAGGTTTTCAAAAATCAGGCTCAGAAAACACACGGCGGACGTTTACATCACTGGAATAACTGAAATCTCAATTCTGGAAGATGCGATTGCGGCGTGACTGATCGAAATCACTTTGAAAACACACATTCGATCACGTATCACCCAAATTAACGAGTGCCAAATTGTAAAATTATCTTTCAGCGAACTTTCAACGAAGAACTAGACCGTTATGCGGAACGAAGTTCACGCCACTTGTAAATCAGCATCACTAGAATCTCCGTAGTTTCGGCAGGTGAAAGAACTACGACCACACCGTGAAAAACGCACCTCATCACAGTGAAAAAAGGGTTAAAAAAATGACGAGCGATGCCCCAACTCCCGCTCAAGAACCACAGAAGAATGCGATTCAAAATATAAACGATCAAGGACTTCATTCAGCACCATGTTTGATTCCCTTTCAACTAGTATGCATAGTTTTATGGTCCCAAGTGCCATGGCATGGTCACAAGAATTATTTGAATGAAAACTTCCACACAAAAAGTTGTCAGCCAAATTCTTCCATTAAACTGCTCACGTCGTTACGTCGTTTCGAAAGGTAAAGGCTTATACTATCCGCGCACTCTGAAAATCAAAACACCCACTGCATTCAAAATTTCATAGTACCGCCCAAAATGTATGCCAAAATCGAGAATAACTCGGAGATAGACTTACAGGTAAAATGTATGAAGTTAAAATGGGTCTTGATTACACACTTGGCCTGTAAGATGTTTATGACCTACATCATCCCAACTGTGCTCCTGAGCTTTCACTCAGGACCTGATGCTGACCAGCAGGACACAATGCACACTCGTGAGAAATTCAATCACCTCTAGAATCAACATTTGAACAACGAGCGAACTTCGGGAATCACTTATCCCTTCAAACGCGAACCCCCCTCCACCCAACTTCCGCATTCCACCGAGACTGAAACCCGCGGAAGAGAAGGCACCAGAAAATGGAGGACCACAGGAGAACCGGGCATCCTCCTTGAATCCGTTTGGGGGGCAAACACGTAATTCGGGCGCGGTCATGACAGCAATCAGGAACAAAGCGAACAGGCAAAACCGAACTCTCTCTCCCGGGTTCCGCACCCCAGCTCCAGGGGCTGCTCAAAAAAAAATAAAATAAGCCCAGGGGGGAGGACACGAAACCCCGGCCACAGCTGATCGCCATGCTCATGTGGCGGAGAGCGTCCCTTCCCTGGTGCGCCATTCTCCAAATGGGGGGAATCGCCACTCGGGAGGGCAATCATGCGCCTCATGCAGTGGCACCAGCACTGATACTTCCCAATACGGATGAATGCACCATTCTTGGGTTTGCAGGAATTCTCTGAATGTTTTCCAGACGGGGGGAGGTAGTCTGGACTTTCCGGGTCCACTTGAAAGGGTGAGTTTAGATACTGGGGTTTCACAACCCACATTTACTGAACAGTATACTGTACCGTGTTTTCTTGAGTGATGTACCACAATAATCTGTCAAGGTGCGCACCTTGACTTTTTGCACAGAATTTGCCCAAGCCTGCACCCCAGTTCTTGCTGATGATTATTGAAAATTGTAAAAAAAGCAAGCAACAATATGGAACTAAATAAATTGATAAACTTAAGTACAGTAATGCACTGTACCATAGTGCAGTAGGATTTGTGCCAATTATAATTTCCTTTAAATTATTTTCACCAAAACAGGCTCGCATATGACTTCCAACAATGGTTTTAAGATACATTTTTCTTTGAAAATTTACTAATTTTCTTGTTTAATGCTTAAAAAAAGTGTACCTGATACTTGAGCATAGATCTGATACTTGAATTCCAAAGCTGACACACTCAAGTTGGGGAGAAGGCAATGGTCCTGTAAAACCAATCACTTCAAATTGGGTCTGAACACTACAAAAGAAGTAGAACAAATTTATATATGAGTTTTGTTGAGAGAAATCAAAAATCAAAGGCTTCAAAGAGAAAAAAACAGTTGTTCCAGGCTAAAACAGAAATGTATGCCTGACATACAAAAATATAGCATGATTCAGGAAGTTATCAATTTCAAATCCTGGAATGTGTTGCACAAATAAAGAGGAGCACAAGTGTAGGAGATGGAAAGAGTTATCTACTTCCCAAAGAAATGCAATATTTATTCTCAAAATGTTGAAACACAGCACTTGTTTGATGGCAGAATTTTCAAGCCTTTTTCCTATCATTGAATTTCTTTATTTTGCGGCTTGCTTCAAAGTAATGAGGCTTTGCCCTACTTTATGCAGCACAGTTCTTACTCTGGGTGCCTCAACAATTTCATAAGTTGTGCAAGTTTTGATAAGAGGAATGAATGTAGTGCAATAAAAAAACATGAAATGCAAAAACAAGATACACTAACAGAACAGCGCTTGTAGATGAGATATCACCAGCACCAGGGTTGGTTTGCAAGATTTGTTACTCATGTCCTTCCTATAATCTTTTCCAACACAGTTGTTAAAAGTTACTTTTCATATTACTGTCCCTCCAATGGTAAGAAGGCTGAGTTGAAAGGGCACTCAGCAACTAAAATGAAATGTGGGTCACCTGCAAATGACATGGTTCATGAATTCACAACAGCAGTCAAACTGCAACCAATCTTTTGAAATCAGTGGAACTATTTTCAATTTTCACCAAAATTGCACAACTTCCAAAACTTGACGATTTCATTCATAAACCAGCACCTCATGTTTTACATGTGCAGAACTGTCTCATAAACGAATATTACATGCAGGATTTACATCCAACCACAAATTGATCCACCATTCAAAGATGACATTGAATCACTGCCACTTCATAATTAACGAAAATGATCAATTTCAAAAGATCATGAACCCAATCGCTGTATATGCTTCATGACAGAGACAAGAAAAAGTCGAACACGGCCCAGTACAGTACCACCTTTTCCAGCAGTCCAAAAAATGATGTTCACCCATAGCAAGAAGCCATAGCCATCAGCAGCAGGTCAGCGAGCGAGTTTCGAGACAGACGCGACACCTGTTCGACACTCGGGAAAGCGTTCTGTTCTGAACACTGTGTAATCGCTTGCCGGGGATTATAAAGCGCACTGCACTACGGAAAACGAAATTCGCGGGGCAAGAGGAACTTCCATAGCGAAGACTGACTCTACAATAAATGTTAAATAATAATAATTCCATCCCAAGACACAGAATGTAGAAATATAATCGCACCGGGGCTTGCAAGGGGTTAGCAGACAACACACACGGGAATAATCGACCCTCTCCCACATAAGCAGCAAGAGATTGTCATCATCAAGCCGAAACCGTCGAAATGTTCAGCAGCAGCGACAGCGTTGCCAACGATGTGGAATATAGGTGGAAAATAAAGAAAGGAGAGAAAGAAAGAGAGGAAAGGAAAGGAAAGAAAAAAGAGGTGAGTGGGAGAGGGCAATCCCTGCACCGGTTCCTTCCCTCCCACTGAGCCGAAAACACCGTCTGCTGTGCGCACGCATCAGCAGCAGTCCTCCATTTCCCAGTCTGGGAAACTCCTTTCGTTTCTTTCACTTTATTTTTGTTTTTTTTGTTCCATGACGACCATCACCACCTCAAGGCACACACACACACACATGTGTAAGCCTGAATAGAGATCACTGACTTATTGGGGCTTGGACTCTCATGCACACTCACTGGATGGTCACAGAGTTCACAACAGGCACATCACTTCATCCCATTATCATCACACAAGCACATATAGCAAGCTGGACAAATATGAGTAAAATGCATGTGAACCACTATGATACCATTTCAAGATTTTATGTTGATTAACAGCAGTGTTGATTGATTGATCAACAAGCTTTGTTTTCTGCTTTTATGTGTTCACAAGGTTGAAGCAAAGCAATGTTCCCACATCCAACAGCCCCCCCCCCCCCTTTCCCACCCACATTCATCCTAACACAGTCCATCACATCAGGATGGAAAATAGAGAATTAAGCTGGATATGAATTTTTTTAAATTGCATCCCAAAAATTACACTGTCCTCCCCTCCTAATAAAAAATATCAGCATATGGCAATAATACTGAACACAAAGCACAAGGTTTTCAGCCTTCTCCCAAGCAATGTGATGTGAAGCTTAGGGTTGACAGAGTGCAACTCAGCTATGTGTGGTGTAACCAACAGTTGAAGAATGTGAGAAGAAACCATGGACATCTACAATCAAATCCACCTTCCAAATTGGATAATGAAACACACAAAAATAGGAAGTACAGTGTGGTAATGTATCAATGTTCCATGAGTAGATATGACCTATACATGGTGGGCAAAAAACAGTGAACCAATTTTCAACTCAAAATAGCTTGGTAGCTAATTTAGTTGTGGCAATGAAGAAGAAAACCCAAAATGCAAGCTTGTTTGATTCCCTTTCAAATGGTATGCATAGTTTAATGGTCCCAAGTGCCATGGCATGGTCATGAAAACTTCCACACAAAAAGTTGTCAGCCAAATTCTTCCATTAAACTGCTCATCCCCAAAGCTATTTTTGGGATGTGTGCTGAGTTTGAAGGCATCATGAAGTTTGCTGGCTAATTACTGGTCCTGAACCCAATTTATCCCTTTAAAAAACAGCTCTGGAAGAGAACAGCTTAGTGGGGTAAGTTAACTGACACCTTTTTTGTTGTTGAAAGTTTCCATGGAAATTGCTCTTTTGACCATGCCATGGCACTTGAGCCATAAAACTACATAGCATTCATAATAAAATCAAACAAGCTTGCATATGATGGGTTTCTTTTTCATTGCCACAGCTCAATTTGCTACCAAGCTATTTTGAGTTGAAAATGTATTTGCTTTTTTGTCCACACTGTATATAGTGGGATGACATACATCTTCTATGACTCTCTAAAATGGAAGAAAACACACAGGGAGAGAGGTGCATGAGGTAAAAAAATGAACTAATGCACAATAGGTAATTATTTGGCAACTGCTAAATGATAGTCTGACCTACATGGGGATAATATTCAAAACAAGATCACAGTTTTATCCTCTTTAGTATCTATACTATCCCAAGAATATTGATGAACTAGGGTACAATGTGTCATATTCAAATTTGATGTGTGACAATAACATAATAGCCAAAAGGCCCCCAGAAAACTTTAGTTAGGCGGATTGAGGAAAAAGCCTTTGAGTTACAAATTGTTTTAATGCACTGCTTCCACTGGAAATCAGACCAGAACTTGAAAAAAATGTACATAGGGAGGTACAGTAAAATCTCATCACAACAAACTCCCAGGGACCTTGTAAAAAAATAAACCTATTTGTTGTATTGAGATTCATAGCCTATAACACATTTTAAAAATAAATTTTATGGGAAATGGGCAGTAAATACTTTCAAGTTCTTCCAAAACAGATAATTTGAATACTATCAAAATTAATAAATATTTCTGATGAAATAAGGAGAGACCTTTTGAAATAATTTGTACTTTCCTTTCATTAAACTTGACTTGTACAAGAGTTGCTTGTCTTGAAAAATAAAATCAAACATAATTACAAGTCATAGAAATACTGTACTGTACTTCCTTCTGCATCAACTTATTTCCTCCCACCTGTCTGATCTTTCAAATAGAGGAACTTTTTTAACATACATACAACAGCATTTATTTGAAAAATGCATACATTCCAAAACAGAGCTGAGGAATTTCCAAGATATGTTTGATGTATGTAAGGTTTCTCCTTATTTCATCAGAAATACTTCAATTATGATAGGTCTCAAATTATCTGTTTTGGAAGCACTCCAAAACAGATAATTATTTACTATATAATTATTCACAGATAATTATAAACAGATAAGTATTTACTGCCCATTTCCCATAAAATGTACTGTATCTCTAAAATGTGTTATAAGCAATGAATCTCAATACAGCGAATATTTTTATAACAGATTTTTTATGAGGTCCCTGGTAGTTTGTTGTACTGAGATTTTACTGCACAGTACCTCCATATACTGTATGTATTTCTTGGAAAAAAAGTATTCTATGCAGAAAGTTTTCTTCTTTGACAAAGTTGGAATGCTGCATCTTTTTTAATTTTTTCCAGGTTTTCTGCCAATTATCAAATAATCCCTCCAGCCTATGCAGAAAATCATGGCCAAAAATTTACTATAATGAGATTACAGCATAAAATGAGTTTATTGAAACTTGAAAGCTTGAAATGAGACTTTTACAACATTATGCCTATGAGAAATTGCTTGGACATAGAAAAAATTGTTATAACAAGATTCGTTGTAACAGTATTCTACTGTACAGAACAGTCCCCCTGCGCAACCAATATACCCTCCCGCACAACGGATTTTCGCGCAACAGACCTCCACAATGGAATAAATCCACATAACGGACTTCTGTTGGTTTAAAATCAATAGTAAAAAGTAAATTTCAATTTTTTAGATAATTAAAATTGGCATAACGGACTTTTTACACATCAGGCTACTGTAGTATGTTCCAGTCCGTTGTGCGGGGGTGATTTCGGGAGGTTAGATTCATTGAGTTCTAACTGCACTACAGAGACCTGAAATAAAGACCAAAGGTAGTCAGCAGCAGAGAGGGAAAAAGAGAGGATACGCGACCATGTTGAGATTCTGAGGCGGCAAATATAAGCGGACGTGGAGACGAAGAGCGTGAACCGGACTAGAACCCGGCGCCGGCATTTTGTCCTTCCCTCGGGAGTTGAAAAGAAGAAGAATAATAATAAGAATGTACAGAAAAAAAAGAAGAAAATTTCGCCACTGTGCCTCTTCCAATGCGATACCGACTCTGTCAGACACGGTGCTTCTCTCTCGCCTCCCTTCTGCTTCCCCCCAATATACATACATACACACACCCTGCTTCGCAGTTCTTCTCATATCCCTCACCCCCACGTCTTTCAGGAATCACAGCAGCGCTTCGGCCACCGGAAGGTTGTAACACCAGCACCGAAATCACTCCCTTTCCCCAGGACCGCGGAATTGATCAGAGTGTATACATACATACAGTATGCATGTGAGAGGATGTAAGACGGCGGAAAAATGGCACCGCGGGAAGAGACACACACAAACGGGAAACGCAGCATCCGTGGAAAACCAACGGCTCTTACATCGAAGCGCCTGTCTGAGCATCAGGCAAATGCCACGAGTCTTCATCATCCTTAGCTCACTGGATGCACGTCACACAAGTAAGCTGAACCCGGAAAATAATGGGCTGCACACACTGGTATTCGTAAGGATTACAACAATATATGTAATACGCGTCCTTACCCTACACTTCAGTGGATTCAATTTTGGGGAAAGGATTTCCCAAAGTTGAACGCCTGACGAACTCTCACAGGAGGTGATCGGTCCGAACCATCGCGGGGACTGAACTCATTTCAACCCGCCGTTGACTAACTGGGCATAGCAATTAAAGCAGGACACCGCGACTCCTTCTGAAACATGGTTGTATCAACAGTGGAGATTGTGCAGCAGGGTTAAGAATCACATAGTACAGTACAGTATTATAGAATATTGGCACAACAGATCAGAGAACTGGCTTCCTGGTAAAAAAAGAAACACTTTATGAATGACTGTACCTCCTTTAATACTGTGGCTATATATTGGGCATCAATCAGGCCTCATAAACAACTTTGTGGTAGCAATAGTTTAAAATAATAGATTTGTTGTAACAACAGGATTTCACTGTGCTGTATATAAACACCCTTTCAAGTGAGATTCTTGCACAACACTGATCCCCAAACATTTGGCAAGATCTTGAATTAAATAGAATTGAACCTTGCCAAGTCAAACCTCCCTCAAGTGGAATACGCCTCCCAAAGTCCAAATTTTTAAAATCCCTGCTTGAATGTCTTCAGAAATAATGCATTGATCAACTCCTTAACTCAAAGGCTTTTTCTCTAAAACCTCCATAAGTCAAATTGTTTAGGTCTTCGGGTTATTATTTTATTGGAAGAAGAAAGAAAAAAACAATAAAAATGGAATTTGATGTGCTTTTACAAAATGTGACAGACATTAGGCAAATGAACCCCTGATTCCAATAAGTTGAGTATTCTGTCAACTCCTTTTAGAAGCAATTTGAGGCCCAGAATATCATAATGTACAATTTACTGCAATTCTATAATTTTAAGATACTCAAAACCTCTCTTGGTCAAATTTGTTTGCTGGTCCCTCCAAATTTGACTTAGAGAGGTTCAACTGTATTGTACTTACTTGAGTTCCAGCACATGTGCAAATTCTTCAAAATCAATGCATGCATGTATCATAGGCAGGTACTGTATATAGCAAATTTAAAAATACAAGCTTTGGTAATGCACCTCATTCTTGATTCCAAGATGGGAATTTAAACCAATTTTTACATACAATTTTAATCATGGAAATGATGAAAAATTAAATTCAATTTGACTACAATTTAAGTCAGATACCCTTTATTTTCAGAATACATGTATACACTCTCCCTTTATAATGAAATTCAAGGAACCAAAAATTGGAGCAAAGGAAAACTTGCTGTATAGAGAACCTGTATAGCATGGATATATGTAACAAATGGGAATAAAAATTAATTTTTATGCAGATAAAATTGTTGTAGACAAGATTCTTGAGAGAAAATCCACCTGCATTTAAATTTCAGTCTCTAAAAATGGGGAGCATCATATGTCTTAATTACTTGCAATACTTGGGGATACAATTTCATCCAAATTTTTATCTGAAAAAATTGGATATGATGTACTGTGTACCTTTATGCTAAAGGGTGAATGTTACTGTACTTGAATAAATATTGTAACTTTCAGTGACTTAATTTTCCTGTGCATGGTCAGAAAGGTATAAACAACATTCACCACATACAATTTTCCCTGATGACTGATCCAGAACCAGCTGTGATGGTGGATTCAGGAAATGTTCACTATTCAAATAATCCCAGAATATACCTTAGAATCAGAAATATAAATACTGTACACAGTACAGTACAATGTCCCTCAAAAAATATTCTTCAAAGATTAATTATTCAGCTACATTTTATAGATTGCTTTTTAATTTTGAATTTCTTATTAACTCTGCATCACATGTACACAGTACAGTATTTTATAAGGTTGTATGCTGCATATACAATATGTGTACAGAAGTGCAAAATTTTTCAATTTGATTAGTTTATACTCACCATATATATAAGTATTCCCACATTTTACATAGCAGCCACACACATCAGGATGAACAGTACCCAAATATTCACACATAGTATGTGTAAATTATACACTGCACCTTACATAATTGAAGAAGCAGATAAAGTCAGTATAAATCTTTTTGCTATATTTACCCAGTTTCAAGCCACAGATACATAGATGTCGCACATGTCAGCATGCCTGCATCATGTATATCCCATTCAAGATTACAAAACTGACAACACAGAACTATTTTGCAAAAGAATACTGCAGCTTGACATCAAAGTATGGATTTTGCAGTTTTTTTTTTTTGGTTTCATTTTTGACACATTAAAAGCATGCTGCTATATACAGTAAATAGCTTCTCATCTCTCACCATCCACATTTTGAGCATATAACTTGGGATTTCCCTTGCATATAGCACTGAGGAAACAGCAGACAATCACCATTTTCTCAGCCTTCTGGATATATGAAATACCATAAATTCCTAAATCTCTCATGCATGCACTACTACATACACTTTACAGCATAATATATGGACCTTGGCTAAAAGTTTCTCCCTTTCATAACTCAATGGCACTCTATATATAATTCTTTTACAGCAGTATCTGAACATGCTGGAAGTCAATTCAGGTTTCTACTTCCCCCTGTACATCTCAATGATCTTATCTTGATCCACATAGTCAAAGATGTGGGGGGCATCCATGAGGATCCCCACAGTGCCAGCAGTGGTAACAGCAAAGAAGATGTACAGCTGCAGCCTGTCTATGATCATGGCCACATACTTCCAGTCCTCACGGATCTATATTCATGCAAATAATATAAAAGGAAAATTGAGAAAAGAAATCACACATGAGTGAGAACAACCAAAAAGGTGATTTTTATGAAGACCATATGCACATATATATATAATCAGCACAGGAGTGAGGGAACTTACTTGAATGTACTCATCCTCATTCCTGAGATGTTCAGCAATGAATTCCACTGCCTCAGTGGCCTTGTATGCCTCAGGGGTCATGAAGACAGAGTCAGAGCACTCAGAGTCTCTCCTGCATAATGGAGGAGGGGGTGGGGGGAAAGGAGGCTCATTTCCCAATGGCATCCTTCCTTGATTAATCTGTGGAATTTCCCCCCAAAAAAAAGAGGCAATGATGAGATTCCAGTACTGTATTGTACATAATATGGTTACACTCCATTTCTCTACAGCTTTCAATGTACCAACAGCAAATTGTATATATACCCATGAATAAAATGTTTCATATGAACTCAATGAATGTTATACAAAGATGCCACCCCTTGGCAGCATAATAACATCTTTGAGTCAAATCCTGTCAAATTTTTTTCAAAAACCTGTCTGAATTCCCTTTGGAACAGTACTTTAAAAATCAATTTAACTCAAATGGTTTCATCATTAAACCTCCATGACTGGAATTTTCTGGTGGCCTTTTGTCAAATATTTTATTCACAAAGGAATGTAAAAGAAATAAAAAAGCAACTTGAATACTTGATGTATTTTGAAAGTAAGTGAAGGGCCACCTGGACAAATGAGTCCCTTGCCTCAAAGTTCAGCATCCTGTCAACTCATTCAAAAGGCAATTTAGAGCCCAGTAGTATATACAGTGAGACCCCCACATGCAGACACCTTGACATGAGGACAATTTTACATAGGGACATTTATTTTTCAATAAAAAATCATTAAAAAGGCCCAACATACAGACACTGACTCAACATGAGGAGATTGCATGATAAAATTGCCAATTTTTTTTAGGAAAATTGACTTTTATTGGGCTTAATTGTAAGAAACAGATAATTCCAACCCCAAGATCTATGCAAGAAAAGTTCTTTGGTACTTCTCCCATCACTTTCCCATCCATTCAGTTAATTAAAAAAATTACCCATAGTACAGAGGGACGCTTTGGATGTTATTTTTACAGATGCCAACATTTCAATGAAATGTCCAATGGTATACTATTCAATGCTCCAAATGTTTTTTTTGGGTTGAAAAGATATTCAGTGAATCAAATTCAAGTGCCAAACAATTTTTTTTCCATGAAATTCTGAAGAATATTTCTTTCATAAAACACCAAATAAAAATTATATAACGTAAGTCTATGGGAAAACAAGACTCCACTTAGGGACACTATTTATTCACCAATTATGTCCTCATCTGGGGGTCTCACTGTATCACAAACCATAATTCCTCGTAATTTTTCTTTCACTCTCCTGACAAAAATGCTATTTTTTCTATAATGCAAAACCTCTCTACAGCATTAATGGATTGCATAATGACACTTTTTTTGCCCATGTTTTCAGATAAAACAATTTCCCACCACATTTTCTCTTAATCTTCAATGTGAAACAAATATATTGGCTCCTTTAAGATATAGATATACAGTGAGGCCCCCACATGTGGACACCTCAACCTGGAGACAATTCAACACGGGGACACCTATTTTATAATAAAAAAGGCCATGCATGAGGACACTGACTTGACATAGGGACATTTTGGGATGATTTTGCAAATACATTTCAAGCCAAATTACAAGAAAGAGATATTTTCAACCCAAAAATTGATGTAAGGAAAGTTCTTGGGCATTCATCTCACCAATTTACCATCCATTTAGCTAATTTAAAAAAAATTACCTCCTGCAGAGAGGGAATTCCTTCTCTCATTTTCACTTGAATGTTATTTTTACAGAGAATGCCAACATTTCTATGTACTGTACAGTGGTATCAGTATTCAATTCCCCAAATGTAAATATTGTGTTTAAATCTATTGATTGAATCAGTTTTAAATTGGGAGGTGATTTTTATTTTTATGGAATTATGGTGAGCATTTTGTCCATAAAACACCAATTAAAAATCATATAATGTAAATCTAGGGGAAAATGAGACTTGACTTGGGGACACTCTTGATGCACCCATTCCGTCCGCATCTTTGAGGTCTCACTGTACATCAACACGTTTTTTTCATCAGGTCCCTTATAGTTTGTTGTAACGAGATTTCACTGTACTGTAATCGCATGCATGCAATGATGGCACAGTACAGTACAGTACCTTGCAACTCGGATGGTGGATATCCGACAGCTCCATGAGGTCCACCTTGGTCTTGCTGCCAAACGTGCCCGAGTGGGACTTGCCCAAGACGGGCGACCCGCCGGCGGTGCAATACGTGCTCGACGGCACCCCGCCGCCCCCGGGCACCTCCATCATCCACCGGAGCCGGGTCTTCTTCGGCCGCCGCATGACCAGCAGCAGGGGCAAGTACTTGAGGAACACGACGCGGATCCAGGCGGGCATCCGATGGGTTCGCGGGCCCCGGAAATTCCAGTTGATGATGATGACGGTGACGAGGATGGACACGGTGTTCATGATGAACGTGAACAGGAGGTACTTGGCAATCAGCGGCAACACCAGCGAAGTTGGAGGAAGGATCTTGGACACGAGCAGCAGGAACACGACCAGTGAGAGCAGGATGGAGATGCCCAGTGTCACCTGTATATAAATATATACAGTATATATATATATAAGGATTGATTCATTGATTATTTTTCATTATTGACACGCAGTTGAACCTCAATACCAATATACCGTATACAGTGAGACCCCCATCAAATGCGGACATGATTGGTGCATCAAGAGTGTCCCCAAGTCAAAATGTCCCTGAGTTGAGTCTCATTTTCCCATAGACTTACATTACATGATTTTTAATTGGCGTTTTATGGACAAAATACTCACCATAATTCCATAAAAATAAAAATCACCTCCCAATTTAAAACTGATTCAATCAATAGATTTCAACACAATATTCAATTTGGGGAATTGAATACCACTACCTCTGTATACCACTGTACAGTACATAGAAATGTTGGCATTCTCTGTAAAAACAATATTCAAGTGAAAAAGAGAGAAGGAAGTCCCTCTCTGCTGGAGGTAATTTTTTTAAATTAGCTAAATGGATGGTAAGTTGGTGAGAGAAATGCCCAAGAACTTTTCTCATATCAATTTAGGGTTGGAAATATCTGTTTCTTCTAATTTGGCCTGAAATGTACCATCTGCCTGACATGAGGACACTGACTTGACATATAATAGGGACATTTTGTTATAAAATGTATGTCACTATATGTCAAGTCAGTATCCTCATGGACACTGACTTGACATATAATAGGGACATTTTGTTATAAAATTTATGTCACTATATGTCAAGTCAGTGTCCTTATCATGTCAGGCCTTTTTTTTTATCAATTTTTTATGAGAAAATAAGTGTCCCCATGTCATAAATTGCCCACAGGTCAAGGTGTATGCATGTGGGGGTCTCACTGTACATCTAAAATACAGTTTGGACTTGGGGTTTGGTGGGTTCCCCTGGCTCAGAATCACAGAAAAACGTTTGGGATCACTCAGACACAGTGGCCGGTTAGCTCAGCTGGTTAGAGCGTGGTGCTAATAACGCCAAGGTCATGGGTTCGATCCCCTTACTGGCCATCATTTTTTCAGAAACATTTTCGAGCGGTTGATTGTGGACGAGTTAATGATTCAAAACATATAAAATGATGATTCAAAACATATAAAATGATGATTCAAAACATATAAAATATGATTCAAAACATATAAAATGATGATTCAAAACATATAAAATGATGATTCAAAACATATAAAATGATGATTCAAAACATATAAAATGATGATTCACTACAGTAAAATCTCTTCACAACAACGCTGTTGGGCCACAGAAAAATGCTTTGTTAAACAGATAAATTTGTTGTATATACATACCGCTTCAAAAAACATTTTGCCCATAATATTCAGCAAAATACATGAAGAGCGAATTTCTTGTAAGCAATGATTTGTTAGAATCAGGTTAATTGTAATGAGACTCAACTGCATATATGGGTATTGAAAAAAATACATCACACCACATACAAATTCATGAATCAGGAAATTACCACAATTTTTTCTTTGGGTGAAAAAATTCACAGCACAAGGCAATTATATTGAGCAGAAATTAAATTACTGCACATATGCATAATTTTTGCCTTTTTGCCAAGATAAGAATTGAGGTCGTCCACAAAAGGGAAACATTCTCAATTGGCATCCTCAAAATTCTTCATCAAGTTAGTGAGAAAAATAGTTGCTGAATTCAAAAGTTTATGAAAATCCAAATGAAAAAATAAGTAAAAAAATTCTCAGGGAAAAATCTCCAAATGAAAAAAAAAGAAGTTTAGATTCAGAAAAACAAACAAACTTCTTCTTTGTCCCTGCACAGATATTATTCTACTCCCTATATGAAAAGATTTTGTTTCGCTGAATGGATTCACAATATTCCACTTATACAAAAGTATACCCAGCAAAAAAAAAAAAAAAGAAGAGGGCACAAGCATCACCTTCTCGCCAGCCTCAGCGGGCAGGTAAACTTAAAAAAAAGAAAACCCAAAAAAAAAAAAAAAAAAAAAAAAAGAAGAGTGCACAATCATCACCTTCTCGCCAGCCTCAGCGGGCAGGTAAAACACGAGGACGCACAAAAACGAGATCAACACCGTGGGCAGGATCAAATTGACCGTGTAGAACAGGGTTTTGCGACGGATCGTGATGAAGAAGGTGATGTCAGTCTCGGTCGGGTCGGAGGAGTTGTAGACGTTGAGGAACGCCGGCACTTCGATGATGTCCCACGTACCGGACTTCCAGTAATCCGACAAGTCCACGAAGTTCTTGTCGTTGTAGAGTTGAAGCGACACCTGGTCTCCGTTGAAAGTCCACGAGCCGAATTTCATCAAGCAGGTTTGTTGGTCGAAGGGAAAGTAAGTCACGTCTATCTTGCAGGAACTCTGGGGAAACAATTAAAAATAATTAATGAATAAATTAACGTAAATAAAAAATATACAGTGAGACCCCCACATGCGGACACATCGACCTGCGGACAATTCAACATAGGGACACTTATTTTGCCAGAAAAAAAAATCAGTAAATAAGGCCCGACATGAGGAAACTGACTCAACATAGGGACATTTTGTGATAAAATTGCTTCAACATGTGTTCTATGGACTTATTTCTGCTTCTGAGACATTCTGAAAAGTTTGTTATAATCTTTGAAAAAAACGCCAATTAAAAATCATGTAATGTAAGTCTATGGGAAAACAAGACTCAACTTAGGGACATTTTGACTTGGGGACACTCTTAATGCACCAATTATGTCCACATCTTGGGGTCTCACTGTATCTTTACAGGTTTCCATAATAAAACCCCTCATTATTTCATGAATAAAAATAATGCAGTCAAATCTGGTTAATAATATCATTAAAATAAATTGTACAGTACAGTACAACAAACTATATGCCCTACACTCCTACAGTATTATAATCTAAGCTTAAATTAGTTAAATACTGTCCAGCTAAATATAGGCTTCATAAATTGAAACCTACTTTCCTATGATATACTGTATACACAGGTACAGAATCCCTCTACAAAAAAATTAAATGGACCAGAAAAAATTCATTGTGGAAAAAATATTTTTGCAAAGAACTCCTAAATTCAAATCTTGTTACAAGACATTTTTCAAAGATTATAACAAACTTTTCACAATGTCTCAGAAGCAGAAATAAGTCCATAGAACACATGTTGAAGCAATTGTGTTCCAAAAAACTTCACAATTCCAGTCCAACAAACTTTTTTGAGGAACATATGATTTTCCCAATCAAAAATCTCAAATTATTCCAGGCGGAGTCTCAAATAAAATTTTCCATTCAGAATGATGACTGTGATTAGTTCTTAGGACATACATGGAAGGTGGAATCAAAAACAAAAAAAATTTTAAAATTCACCTGAACATCCTCTCTTTCAAAGATTTTTCAAGTGGTTATAGGAAAAGAAAATGGGTTTGATGAAAAAAAAGAAAAGAACCCGGCAAAACTCAAACAGGTGCAGGACTTGTTTGGATTCTTGAAGAACCCTCTGAAGCTTTTTTTTTGAACATCCACCCTTACAAATCTACCATATGCAGGAATTGTTCAGGAAAACTTAAAATTCACCAAAAAAAGCCAGTGTTTATACCTGAAGTCATTCAAAATAAATATTTGTCATTTACATTCAAAAATATTTTGAAGATCACAGTTTTTCAAACATGAAAAAAAAACATTTGAAACGGAATGAAAAAAGAAGCTTTATAAAATATGCAGCTGTATATAGCATGAAACAATCTCACCAACCAACAATTTTTAAAATCTCATTATAAAAATGATTTTTCATAACAAACTTTTTCTGAAGTCCCCATCATGAGTTTGCTGTATCAAGATTTATTCACTATACATGAATAAAGAACCTCACATAAATCCCCCGCCAAAAAAAGAATTCGTCTACAGAGAAAAATCGTCGCATATATATAGACAAGATAATCATAGTACTGTGGAAGAGAGTCCACTTTTAGTACGCAACCCACCTGATAGATGGCAGGAGGAACCCAGAGCACTTCCCCGTGTGGGAATATGAGCACGTTGCTCTTGTACCGCACTTCATAGTTTCCGTCAGCACTGCAAAAATATATATACATCATATACACAACAGTTCAAAAGAAAAAAACAATACAGAACGGATACATTTTGTACACGAAACTGACGCGTATATACAATTATTTATTTATACATACTTGTTGAAGAGAACAATGTCCGGTTTCCACACCTTGTCCGGAGGTAATCGAAGCACTCCGATGCCTCCGTAATCCGCTTCGTCCCAACGTAATTGATAATCATTCCACACCTATTTTCATTCAGAACAGAAACAAATTGAATTCGATTTCAACATGTTTCAAAATTCAAGAAAGAAAAAAAGAGAAAAGGAAAGCATACCTTTACATGTTCCTGTTCTTAAAATGTGAAAAATTCGGAAAGTTTCTAACAAAAATCATACAGATTACCTCATCTCACAAAAACCATTGACTTTCACACAAAACCATTAACAGTTGGACTCTTCTTCATTCTTGCAATGAAATACCATCTGCGCCTTTTTCTAACCATGCTCTGTATATTAGACAAGATTCAAACAAGATTAATAAAAAAACAATCAAACAACATTTACACAAGATTTAAAGAAGATTAAAAAAACAATTAAACGAGATTTACACAAGATTTAAACAAGATTTAAACAAAATTTAAACAGGATTTGAACAAAATTTAAACAAGATTTAAACAAGATTCAAACAAGATTTAAACAAGAATTTAAAAAAACAAATAAACAAGAATTAGAAAAAAATAAACAAGATTAAAAAAAAAATAAACAAGATTTAAAAAAAAATAAACAAGATTTTAAAAAAAATAAACAAGATTTAAAAAAAAATAAACAAGATTTAAAAAAAATAAACAAGATTTAAATAAGATTTTAAACAACAATTAGTCAAGATAAAAAAAAACTAGATTAAAAAAAATTAAACAAGATTTATACAAGATTTAAAATTTTTCAAAATACAAGAAAAGAGGAAATCACAACATTAAATGTTCTTCTTTTCAGCATTTGAAAAATTCAGAAGTTTAGAATGAAATTCATACAGATTACTTTGATTTTCACACAAAACCATTCACAGTAGGATTTTTATTCCTTCTTGCAATGAAATACTATCAGCACCATTTTCTAACCATGCTCTGTAAATTATGCAAGCACAAATTTAAAATTTTCCAAAATCCAAGAAAAGAGGAAATCACAACTTTACATTTTCTTGTTTTAACATTTGAAAAATTCAGAAAGTTTTGAACAAAAATCACCAGGATTACTTTGATTTTACACAAAGCAATTCACAGGTGGACTCTTATTCCTTATTCTTGCAATGAAATACAATGTGCACAATTTTCTAGTCATGCTCTGTAAATTATAAAAACACTGATTTGAAAATGTTTCAAAATTTAAGAAAAAAGGAAAGCATAACTTTACATATTCTTGTTTTTAACATTTGAAAAATTCAGAAGTTTAGAATGAAATTCATACAGATTACTTTGATTTTCACACAAAACCATTCACAGTTGGACTCTTTATTCCTACTTTCAATGAAATACCATCAGCACCAATTTCTAACCATGCTCTGTAAATTATACAAGCACAAATTTAAAATTTTCCAAAATCCAAGAAAAGAGGAAATCACAACTTTACATATTCTTTTTTTAACGTTTGAAAAATTCAGAAAGTTTTGAACAAAAATCACCAGGATTACTTTGATTTGACACAAAGCAATTCACAGGTGGACTCTTATTCCTTATTCTTGCAATGAAATACAATGTGCACAATTTTCTAGTCATGCTCTGTAAATTATAAAAGTGCTGCTTCTTGCAATGAAAAACCTCCATGACATTTGTAAACCAAGCTCATCTGTACATTGAAAGAGCAGCATTCCATTTATTTATTGTCCATTTTCTGGATACACGTCTGGTACCTGTGTTATATATGAATGAATGAATGAACAGAAAACTTTATTTGCTGCTTTTCAGCTTTCACAAGGCACAACCAAGACTCCCGCATCCAAACCCCCTCCCCACCCAACCCAACTCCCCCCAAGACATTCATCCACTTCAAATCATGAAACAAAGCACAAACCAATGACATAAACAGAAGAGAACACACTTTGCTGCTGCTTTTTCTTCAATATTGGGGATGGGTGGGTGTATGCAGCATATGTGTAGGATGTCCAGTTTTATTTTATTTTGTGGAGTGTTATATATACAGTTGAACCTTGATAACTCAAACCTCCCTAAGTCAACTTTTTAAAGTCCACTTTGAATTCCTGTAGGAACAATGTATTATAGAAACTTCCCCAACTTGAGGCATTTTCCTCTCAAACATTTGTAACTCAAAATTTTTGAAGGCCTTTTGGCAATTTTTTTCTTGACAAAGGAAATAAAGAAGCAATAAAAAACATAATTTAATGTGTTCTGAAAGTAAAGTAAAGACTGAATTAGGCAAATTTAGTCCCTGCCTCAGAGTTCAGCATCCTGTCAACTCATTTCAGATGCATTTAATGCCCGGAATACCATCATTTACAATTTCATGTTATTCTTCCATGTTTACTATGACAAAAATGCTTGGTTCTGTTATTCAAAACCTCCTTAGATCAAAACCTCCTCAGATCAAAACCTCATCAGATCAAAACCTCATCAGATCAAAACCTCCTCAGATCAAAACGCCCTTAATTAAAAATTTTTGTGGTCCCTTGAAATTTGACTTAGAAAGGTTCAACTGTACTTGTGTACCTTCCCTAAGATTAAAATGGCAGCTCCATTTTCTTGTATCACAATAAGTGGAAATTTTCCAGTTATGACAAGAAAGTTCTTCAATCATGTCACAGAATGCAACAAATTTGTTCAACCAACTAAAATTTTTTAAACTTTCCTGTTTGTTTCCACCATAACTTTTTCTAAATTTTGTGGAAATTCCAAAAATTGTTCCATATTTTGTTCACAACAGGAGAAAGACGAAAATATTTTGCTGCTTTTCAAGGGTTCATTTCCAATTTTTATTCATTTATTTATTTAAAAAACATCACCCAATAACCTAGTTTCTGCCTGTGACATTTTCTTATCCTCTTTGAAGCTTAATGAAACTTCTGTTCATTTTTAAAAATCTTCTGTCTCAGGTCAGAGGACAGGAAAAATTCTGCTGAGCAAGCTTTTTTCATATCTGCTAAAAAACAAGAAACAATAATTTCATAAGATACATTATATTGGCGCACGTGAATTATTCAATATCAACGAATTTTCTAGACGCAAAGAAGGCAAAGATTCAGCCCAAGTTTTGACAAAGTATACTCACCAACCGAAGCCAGACGTTGGACTTCATGATCTGGTTCTTTTCATTCTGCAAAAAGAAAAATCGCCATTAAAATTGGGCACGCACATTTAAAAAGTCAGAAAATGCCGCTATACATGACATCGACGTTACACAGAAAAAAGCAACGAATAAAAATCATCTGGGGACGAAATGTTGCAAGAATAATGATGAAGTCGACGAAGAATTGAAAAATGTGCGTACGAAGTCAAAAATGAGTCTAACATCATGACTCGAAAATCGGAATCACTGCACGATGATGAGATGATCGATGCTTTGACCACATTTCGCATTCATATACAAGACCACAGATCATCAGGAAGCAAAGAAACATCACTTATATATGCTTCCCGACATTTTCTCGAGACACGTAAGAATGAAACAGTATACACGTCTTGGAGTAATTATAATTATACACCCTTACCACATTGATGAGTTGGACGAAGGCGAGCCCGAACCTGACCTCCACCTTCTGCGTCATGTTCTCCACGGGCCGAATGAGCTTATTGTAGCCTCGGAACAAGTCTCGAACCAACCGTTCTTCATCCTCGGACGCAAAGGCTATTATTGACACCAATGAATTCAAACGACATAAGCTAAGAATGAAGACTGAGTATTGGCGAAATTCACTGAACTTACCGGTCGTCGTCACGAAGATGGCAAGAATCAGGGCGAGGATGAGGAGACGCGAGGAAAGGTAGCCGATAACTTCGCATTTGCGATCACTATTGAGCCCCATAATAATCGGGAATATCGATCGTCTATGGATCAAAACGATCCGACACGGATTTGTTGTAGAATGCTCACATGTTCTGAACACTGAACCACGATGGAAAGCATGATTAAGGTAGAGATCGGTACGTGGAAACTCATCGATCGGGTCACCGCGGAAAATACAAGAAACCCTCGAACATAATACATCTGATATCATCTGAAGATCGGCGCAGTATGCCTATTTATATAGTTTGTCATCGTCGATGATCCACTCAAACCATAGCACAATAAGACAGGAGTAAGTGCAATATGTCACAGCTGGTCTCTTATTTATGCTATTGGCGCCTCAGATCGAGAGGGGAATAATCATGAATTCACGCACACCGTTCGTGAATTCATATGAGTTCGTTTCTTACACGTTGTCGCAAGCTGATTTACACCATTATTAATGCCAACAATAGTAACAACAGACATAAAAGCATTGTTTCACAGTTCTAATTGTGTTCCTACAGACACGTTTACTGAATCCAGGTTCGTAGGCTTTCGACCAGTATAGGCATCCATTCTATGCGAACTTCCACAGCAATAAAAAGACGCATTTCAATAAGCAGCCCGAGCATATCTCATTATAGCATCGTCATTGTTGAAAAAAACACAAGTTATTACTTTACAGTACCGTAATATCACTGTATTCACTCATTCCCTGCAATACAGTACCGAAAATCACTCTTTCACTCGACACATCGTCCATCATTACATCGCGATGAGATACATCAGTACTCGTACATGTAAACCGATAAAATAAAGTACGTATATACACTGTCATCCTAGCTCATCGAAGTTGGATTAGGATGATGATTACAAACCCTGAAGCAGCTGAAATTATCTCTGTTGCTGGATCTACACAGCCCCAACCGATCCATGACATTAATCACTCATTCACAGCACAAAATGCATCATCTTTGTTTCTGGTTTGGTTTATATATACAGGCGATCCGTTCTTTAGCTGCATATTTCAAGAATTTCACTCGCTACCACGCATAGATCATGATGTGACTCGTATTCCCCATCAACGATTGAGAGTCATCATTCACTGGAAAATTGCTGCACAATCACATCACAAACACTTCAAATATTTAAACATTTATCGTCGGGAAATACCAGACCAGAATGAACGGAACTCACGGCAGACATGTGGGATATATGGGAAAAGAACCGCATTAATATGCAGCACTGTACAAGAGCCCCGACGCAGTTTCTTCAGAGGATCCTGCGGGCGCAGCACACGAGGGGATCTTGGTGATCCTCTGCTGTAGCCTTCGTTTCGTATGAACAGAGTTCGTCTCACTCTCTCCGCGGATCTCCAAAACGGCACTGTTGTATTTTACTCTCTTTCAGGGAAAGGGAGTGTGCGTCGTGATAAACTGTCCGCCCTTCCAACCGCGCCCATGAGGGACAGGGTTCGCTCATGGATATATATTTATATCAAACACCCTTATATCGTGGGGGTGTTTCCCCTTATTTAGCATTCCAGTGCAAGTATATTATCCAAATATACTCATTTAGACTTAATTTCTTGCAAGCCTCGCATTTGGGAATCAAGTTTTGGCCAAATTCGGTTACAGATAGGAAACTCTGCTTTTTGGACAGTATATCATAGGCTGTCAAAGGAAATGATTTTTTTTATAAAGAAGGCATGAGTTACTGTGGGAAATGTGGATTCATTTTTATGATCCATGCATGAAAGCTTTTACAGCATTGTTTTCCTAAACCTTGAGTGTATTTACTCCCATTTTACATTATAAAATCCCAACAATTAATACAAGACTATATCAGAATTCATTGAAGAAATTTCCAAGTAGGGACCAGGAATAAATCAGCCATTTCATATATTGTAATGTATTTTAGCTTCATTTGCCAGCACTGTTCAACAGACTTCCAAGGGATACATTTATGTGGCCATTAACTGAGACACTTGAAGCTCATGCATCACAAAAACTTTAAACTTATTGCAAATTAATCCCATTTTAAAGTATTTTCAACACTTTTTGGAGGGATGCGTATCACATATTCTGGCAAAGATTCAGATTTATGAAAGTTGTTAAAGCAGAAGTTTTTGTTTCACAAATAATGCACTCCAAGGATTTAAGCTATATTTATTTTACATCAGTACTATTTAAAGCACAATAAGAAGGTGTATTTAGCAGAAATAAATTAGAGCGCAAATATGTGGTCCAACTATAGAACAGAACACAATATATTGCAACCGAAAACATACAGCAGTATTGGAAAAAAAAAGTGGGATCATATACTGTATGTGCTGGTTGAACAGCAGCATAAAAACTGTTTGTTTTCCTATAGGGGGTGCTCCTTGGCCAACACAAACATTCAAGTGGTCTATATTTGAACACAAGAAAACAGGGGAACTGCTGGAGATTCTATCATTCCATTTCCATCGCATCTGCAAAATAAAACACCACACAACTAAACTTGTTCCATATTATTTTATCCTCTTCCACTCACTTTTACAACAGCGGAGTACAGTACTGTACTGTAAAGCAGACACGAGTCATACCTGCGAGTAAAGGTCACAGTACATAAACCTATACGGCAAATCGTGAATGTAAACGCTGGAGTTGTTGTTTCAGTAAAGTAGGTGTCGCTGCTGCTTGAGCAAGCATTTTTCCATGAGCTCACCGCGCAGATGTTAATCTTGTTCTTTCATGCATCAGTTTTCACAAACTGAAATTTCAGCCACATATTTACCTTCAAATGTACTCACTTTTGATGCACCAGAATGATTAGATGATGAAGACTTATAAAACATTTGTTGTAAATAATTTATCCTTCAAAATGGTTGAATAATGGGCATCTATGTGCAGTTGAAGAGATCTTGATTAAACAAGAATCCATATTAACTAATTTCCCACACACCCATTAACTGCCACAAACCCATCAACTACCAAATTTCCACACACCTGTTATAACTACCAAATTTCTCACACACCCACTTTTGCTCACATTCACATATTCTTTTGTTATTTTAGATAAGTTCTGACAATCTTGACAAATCAAGATTGTGGTGTTTGAACAATTGGAATAGCAATATGTAATTCTTGGAACTCATTCATGAAAATAAGTCCCATCCCCAGGTTTTACTAAGGTTGGATGAGAAGCCTACACACAGTCTACCAGAAAAATATCATTTCATCATTTATTTGACAAAATGTTTTTCTATTGAGCTAAAAAAAGATTTATTCAGATTCATTTTGCGATACTAAAATGTTACACCAGAAGAGGGAATTATACATTCATACAATTTTGTTTTTATTCATTTAATTCATTCTAAAAAATTTTCTCCCTATATAGGACATAAGAAAACTGTTATACTGTACATTATCATCATTCAGCACATCAACCAAATCATTTGTCAAGATTAATTTCATGCTGATGGATGATATTCAATAGCTTTGTGGAGACATCCAACTTTTTTTGGTAAAAATCCACCACATCATGAATTGACTGAAACAAAATTTAAAAGTGTGAGGCACATCAAGGACATTGTAGCTGTTGTGATCAATCAACAAATAAACAAAGTTTGTCAATGCATTCAGAACTAGCCAATCCTCAGTTGAAGTACCCCTCTTACTTGCACATGCTATAAATTGCATTAATATTTTTCAACACACATAATTCCATCATCAATTTGGACAACCACAACCCAGTACGACTGCATAACTATAATCCAAGTTCTGGCCCTCTTGTATACATTCAAAGACACACAAATATAATTGGTTGCTTTTCTTCTCATATCCCAAGAAAAAACATTAATGACCCAAGTGGGGAGCTATTTTTGCTGTGACCCCACAGTAGGTGCACACCAGGGTCACAACTGGAGCATATGGGATATTCTGGGGTTAAAAGTGTGCAATCCTGTAGAGAAAATCTTGCTACCATTCCAGGGTTACACTTGGTGCACAAATGTGAAGTAACAGGAGCATCACACAAATGCACCAACTATGTAACCTTGGTGTAATTTATTTGTTCACAGGTGTGACCCTGAGTAATCCTGGTGTTAACACACAATTGGTGCACATTGGGGATATGCATGTGCAACAGAAGAACTTTGGTACACTTCAGGTGCACAGCAGGGTCACTGTGTAGAACTACAAACAAATCCCCAGTGCGCACCAATTTCCCCACTTGGGGAATTTATGTCATGAGCATATGCACAAGCCATGTGAAAAGAATGCAAAATTCATAGAAAAGCATGTTCAAAGGTCTTCATTTCACAGCATTTCAAAAAAACAACAAAATGGTTCTCATTTTCTCTTTTTTCTAGTTTCCAAAGTGACTTCTCTGTATTCATAGTCCTCAGAAGAAGAGGAAGAAGTGCTGGGGATTCTTCTTCTTTTCTTCCTCCTGGATGAAGACCCAGAACAACTCTGCTTCCCAGTATGATCTTCAACTGTTTCTTCCCTCCTGCTGGACCTAATGGAAAGTCTCTCAGAACTCCTCCTCCTCCTGCTCTCTGATGCTGGTCTGGTCCTGGAAAAAGTGTGTATCACAGAGCTTCTTGGGGTATGAGGCTCCCAGTCATGATCAGCCTCAGAAAACCTGTTTCCTGGGTTCCTAAAGGCATGCATGAAACTGCAGTTGGCATGCTGGCAACAGCCTCTCTTGAAAGCCCCTGTTGAAAAAAGCATATTATCATTTGGAATGGGTCATACTTTTTTTAAACTGACCAAGAATGCAAAATTAAACCATAACATTATACATTCATTTCAATTCCAAAGTATTGCCCAAAATGTGAGAATTTTCCAGTTTCCTCAGATAGGAATTGAACTTTTCTAAAAAAAAACTGTGCTGATGGAACTGTGCCATCTTCAACAAATACTACATTTGCAGCCATAATTTATTTCTGAATTCAACAGGAACAATGCTGAATCAATATTCACAGCCCACAGCAGATGAAATTATTTTTACTCAAGTCCCAGACTTATATTCTAGCATTGTAAACTCTAATTGAAATATTTTCAAGGGGTCCCTTCAGTTTTTGGCCACAATATTTCAGCTGTACAATAAGGATTTTCTCACACATACACAGACTCACAGTATAACACTGTGAGTAGAAAGGGGCATGAATGAAACAAATGTGCAGCTCACCACACAAGGCCCTTCTCCAAGATGGCACCCTGACCAGGAACACATTGATCTGCCTTCCAGCAAACCACCTCCCATGCAGACTAGTCTGAGCCTTGACAGCATCACTTTGCAGCTGGTATTGGGCAAACACAGCTCCTCTCAATGGCAACCCTGAGTTGCAGCACACCTTCACTTGCCCCAACTGACCAAATGCTGATAATTCTGGGTACACTTCATCCCAGAACTCCCTAAAATATTCCACACATGAGAATGTACATCAGCAATTCACATATACAGTACATAATACAGTAAAAATTCATACCCTGCATTTACTCAAATACTGTAACACTCCAAATAGTTTTATACAGTAATGAAAAGATGAAAGTAGGGTCAATTTTCCCTAAATAAAAAAAATCACAGTTCAAATTAAAATTGAATTTAATGAAGAAACATTTTAAAACATAGAAAATTTTGTCTACCAAATGATTGAAACAAACAGTGATACAAATACCCCCCCCCCCAAAGTTCTGTACTTTCCCCTTTCCTTGCAAAAAAAAAAGTGATCATTCAAAGGCTTTGAAAGTTTCACCAAATATGAGAAAGATGATATTCAAAATTTCAATTTTTAAAAGTCTGACTTCAATGGGAAAGTTTTCACTCTTGATAATGTGAAGTACTGAATAAATGTCTTATTGAAAATCTAAAAAAAATCACCAGATTTCTAAAACATCAAGAGGTAAAGTAGGAAAAAATCTCTTCACAGTTTTCCCCCACCAATTTTAGAAATATTTACAATCCTTGTACTGTCAACTGTATATTTATAGAATGAAGCCAAAAAATAAATCAGACTCACAAGAAATGCTTGCGAATGTCACTTTCTTCAAACTCCAGGCTAATGTCAGTGTCATATTCCCCACGTTTTCTGCCTTCAGTCAAGGCAAAGTGAGTGAAGAAGTCAGGGATGGCAATCACTGAAGCTGAGGCATACGTCATATGGTACCTATAAAAATTTCAGTTGAGGAAATCCAGCCATTATAAAAAAAAATTCAGTCATACAATTGACAAAAACTAAAACTTGTTCTATAGTTCATTAAAAAAAAATTATCATGATATTAATATCATAAAAAACTTGAATTAGACATTATTGGTCATTTAATACTGCTTTGCCATTGTGGTTTTGGTATCCTCTTATATAATCCAAATGATGTCAATGGAACTGTAAAGTCTCTGTGCAAAAAGAAAATATGGCCAGACATATGGACATGAGGACATTGCATGATCAAATTGCCAATACATCTTAGGAAAATTGACTTTTATTAGGCTCAATTGCAAGAAACAGATATTTCCAACCATAAGATCTATGTAAGAAAAATTCTTTGGTACTTTTCCCCATCACTTTCCCATCCATTCAGCTAATTTAAAAATATTACCTATAGCACAGAGGGACTTCCTTCGCTATTTGTGACTTGGATGTTATTTTCACAGATACCAACATTTCAATGAACAATACATTGGTATAATATTCAATGCTCCAAATGTGCTTATTGGGTTGAAAATACATTCACTGAATCAAATTCAAGTGGCAAACAAATTTTTTTTCATGGAATTCTGAAGAATATTTCTTCCATAAAACATGAATTTAAAAATTATAGAATGTAAGTCTATGGGAAAACAAGACTCAACTTAGGGACACTCTTGATGCACAAATTATGTCTGCATCTGGGGGTCTCACTGTATATAATTTTTGGAACCAACTTATCTCAAGATATCCCAAATATAACCAAAATGTCCCTTTCTTGCGTTTCAAAATAACAAAATTTGTTGTGTCAACTTCCAACAAAGGTTTTCTTTTTCAGGTCCCAAAATGACTTTCTACTGTGCCAGCAAGGATGATGACCAGGAAAAACCAAGCATACCTGCGACATGCAGCTCCAAAACGACAAAGACCATATCTCTCATGTTCAGCACAAAATGGCACAGGGTTCCCTTCAGCCTTGTATGGGCCAGCTGGTGCATCAGGGTTTCTCAGGGGAGCTTCTTTTCTCAGCACCTTGGGTGGTACAAAAAAAAAGAAAAGTATAGTAAAAATATAGAATTAAAAAGGACATTGTACAGTGTCATTAACTACAGTTAATAATTTCCTTCCCTCAAAAAAAAATCTAGCAGCCTATTAAATTGGCATGAATGATATCATCACAAAGTATGCATGCAGTGAGACTCCCACATGCAGACAATTCAACATAGGAACATTTGTGTTCTAATAAAGCATAAAAAGGGCCTGACATGAGGACACTGACTCCACATGCAGACATTGCATGATAAAATTGCCAATAAGTTTCAGGACAAGTGACTTTCATCAGACAGAATTGCAAGAAACAAGATATTTCCAACCCTAAGATCTATATGCAAGTAAAATTTACTGGCATATTCCCATCCATTCAACTAATGTTAAATAAATTGCCTCCAACATAGAAGGACTTCCTTCCCTCTTTGTGACATGAATGTTATTTTTACAGATGCAAAAATTTCAATGTACTGTACAGAGGTACTCTTTGAGTTGAAAGATATTGACAGAATCAATTATTGGCAGACAAATTTTCATCATGGAATTCAGATGAATATTTCTTACATAAAACACCAATTAAAATTATATAATGTAAGTCCATGGAAAAACAAGACTCAACTTAGGGACACTCTTGATGCACCAATTACGTCTGCATCTTAGGGTCTCACTGTACTTCAAAATATATAGGTGAAATGAAATTTAGAGGAAACTCTCTCACAAGATTTTTCACTAACACAACAATTCATATTGAATTTAAAATAATGAAAAAGTCATACCATTCTCAAATACCAAGCAATTGAAAGGAATTATTAAAATTCATCTTCAAGATGAGTTTCTGGAAATTACTTTTGAATAAAAACAAAAGTAGTCAACATTCTGAAAACCCCTAATACAATTTTACCTAAATAACTGAGTGATTTTCATACTCACCTCTTGAAGCTTCTCATTGGCAAGAATCTGAGCATGTTCCTGTGAGATTGAATCAAGAAAAGGTTAAGAAAATATATCATGATGGTAATTATGAATAGGGAGAATAAAATAACTACAATATACAGAATCTTGTTTTTCTTTTTTTAAAGGATACTGTTTATGCAAGCTCTGTGCAGCATGAGTGACAAAGAGCCAGATGCTGATTATCAAAGAGCCCAGCATAAGACTGCAACTTTCCTTGGCCTCTGTCTCCTTTTTCAGTTTCTCTTGAGCTTCTTCCTGCAGTTTCAGCCACTCAAGTCTCTGCCTTTCCTGAAAAAAAAAATTCAAGGAGAAAAACAAAAATAAAGCTCTGATTTCTAAAGACAAGAAAATTTGATTGAAGTATGAAAAAAAAAAAGAGAAAAACCTCAGCCTCTGCTTTGGCCACTTCTCTGGCCCTTTGCCAGGCAAACTTTTGCTGTGCCTCCACCTCTTTCCTCTGCCATTCAGCATTCATCTTCTCTGATTCCATTTCCATCTTTTCTTCTGCTTCTTCTTGCAGCTGTTTCCTCTGCAAGAGCCATGTTTTGTATTCTGCACTTGCCAACAACTTTTCCAATTCTTGTTTCAAAGCAGAATCTCTGTCCTGAGCTGTTTTCTGTCTCTTCTTTTTCCTTTTCAGCTTCTTCATCAGCTTCCTCCAGTCCTTGTGGCTGTCAAAGTGTGTGAGACAATGTTTGCACTAATTTTAAAATTCAGTATTAATACTGGTGATCTACTTCTACAACAAACTTTTGGGGGCCATGAAATACAGTAGATTTGAATATTTGTCAAATAAAAAAATATTACTAAAGAAATTATAAATTTTTGTGTCAAATTCAGAACATCATCAAGTGAATATTTAGTTTCCCAGTAGAATTGACAAAAAAATTTGCCACATCACAATAAAAAAATAAAAATGTCCTCCAGTTGAAAAACTTTGCTGAGTACAATTGTAGGGTGTAATAAACTGATCATATTTTATTAATTCTGCATTTTACTTCTGTGTTATCTTCTTTTTACAGTGAAATCTTGTATAACAAATAACTCAAAACAAATTGATTTTTGAAATCTCTCCAGTGCATTGTCACAGAATTATTTATTACTCATGATGAAACTTTCTCTTCTAACAAAGGTTTTTCCAGGTCAAAAGGGCTCCAATAAAAAAACATGCATTATGTAAAATTGTGTGTCTGGCCTTTTTCCTGATATACATCAGCCAGGAAATTCAGGCTAAAAACTATCTATTGCTTCTTGTTCCATGATTGTGAAAGCATTATTTTTTTGATGACCACAAAATTTTTGGATTTCAACTCATGGACACTTGAAACTCCAAAAAGAATCTGCCCCAACACCTGGACAATGGCTCCAGATAAAGACACTCTGGCAACATTCTCCAGAAAATTGGAAAATTTATATTTTGATAACTCTTGAACAAATTGAGACATTTATACATTCATGCAAATTGAAAATAAATGTCATTATAAATCTACTCCATGGTAATTCTAAATGAAAAACAAGCTGATTTTGGGCTTCTCAATGCTGGGTTTTCTATCATCTGTGCATAGTTTACCAAGACTTATTTCAATTCTTTGCTTTTTGAGCTCCTTATTTTTGAAGCCAAAAGATCAGATTCTATGTGGTTTCCTTTGCACAGTTATTCTCTGCATTTTGAAAAAGAGGGAAACCACTTTTTTTCTGCTTTTCAGCATTCACAAGGCTCAAATAATGTTCCCACAACTAGCCGAACACATTCCATCACATCAAGGTGTCAAGTAGAGAAATAATTTAAATTAAATAATATTTACAGAAAAGAAAATGCAACGCAGAATGTAGAAATACACACACTTCCTCAAGTCAACATTAAATACCAATATAAAAAATGCAGAATGGTTTCAAGACTTCAAATATTATTAAAAAAAAAAGTTGCACATTTAATATTGGATTCTTTGAATATATCTTCAGCAGGACACAGATTTCCACAAATTTCAAGGCAAGATATGGAAATTGGTTGAACTTTCTTGATAAGTACAACTCAACAACTCACACCAATGGTAAACTTACTTTATATTTCAGTAATGTTTGAAGAGCTTAAATAAAATGCCATACAAAAGAAATATAACATGACCACCAGTGAACCTGAAAAAGATGAAGGTTCAAACCCTGAGTCAAAGTGTAAATCAAAGACACAGGCATGTATCAGAGCTTCTTCCAGAAGAAGTTGATGATTCAAAGTTCTTCCAACACCAAAATAAGGTGATAAATTTCTTGGATGAAAAAAAGTACCTTTTCTTTGCAGTACCCCCAACACTTGCTTCTTCACACAACATGGCCAAAATCCTTGAGGGGGAAAAAAAGAGGCAACAAATCAGTGTCAGGTCTACTAACTTGTCAAACAAATTATAAATAAATGAAAAGACATAGTACTCAAAACTCCATGAACAGCAAAATCGCTTTCTTCTCATATCACCAGCACAAATGGAAAATTGGCTGCAACCACAAAAAAACAAAAAGCTTACACAGGGTAATTCCAGAAATTCCTCATTAACTGATCATCACCTCCACAAATAATCTTTCCAGAGAATAAAAAGTCTGAAGTCAACAAGAACCAAGAAATTTTTCATCTAAATCATATTACCATGCTTTTTTTCTTTTCCTCTCCCTTTTCCACAGACTGGGTCACACCAAAGTAACTCACATCAGTTTCTTTGATCCAGAACAAACAAAAGATTATCATCTAAGTTCCTTCCAAGCCAAAATCATTTTTCAAATAAAAGAATGATGTAGAGGTCACGCAAAACAAAAACCATTTCATACTGCAAAAAGTAACAAAATTGTGCCAAAAGTAGGAAGAAACTGATTTGATTGGTTGACTGACAAGCATCACAAAATCCATCCAAGTCAAGCTCAACCGTCTTAAACAAGAATTTCGATTATACAATGCACGAATAATTGCTGCTGGATTTACTCATTTTTCAAGGATTGACAGATTTTAGAGTGAAGCCAAACTAAGATGTGAACATTCGCATGTTCGAAAAAAAATCTGAAATAAACTTCTGACGTGACAATAAAATATTAGCGCGCAGGAAACAGACGGTTGTTCGCCACAGAAAAATCAAGCCATTCCCAACATGAAGAAAATGCATAATTCAAGATTTAAAAAAATTTTCAATACTCAACAAATGAGATTTCCGAACAACGTCTTACATCAAACACTTAATTTTACTTTTTTTTTTAAATCGTAGACACACACCTTCCAGGAAGTCCAACAAGTGTTACTGAATTATAAAGCGTAGCAACGAAATTGAACCTTCGAGCAACTAACTTTACGCGACATCTATGCAACACGAAGAAAATCTTGGCGTCTAAGACATCGTTCTCTGCAGCAGCAAATTTCCCCTTCATAATCACAGAGAAATGAGAATTGCATCCACTAGGTGTCACTCACACCAGATCACATCATCGGGTCTTCTCCCCAGAAGATCCATTTCAATGCTCTATCCTCCCTTCATGCGAGCGACACCTACCTCAAAAGTTCTTTGGGTAAAGTACTGGACGCCATTGGCCAAGAAACCACGTCAATAAATAGGTCAAGCTGCCAGGGAGAAATTACTTCGTTCGTTTTTCAGTTAGTAGAGGTCGCACGCAGCCCGTGAAAACGCAATACAGTAGTTTCATGATCATCCTACTTTGTGGGGAGGATAGGTGTCGCTCCTGACGCCCATAACACCTAAATAGGAGGATTATTCCAATTGGACTTGACCTTGGTGGTTTCTAGTCAGCATGACTAAAATACAATTTATGATAAAGCCCATGATGTTGTGAGATTTCTTGGCATTAAAAAAAACTGTCTACTGCACAATGAGTAGAAACTTTCCAGTTACAGCAATAGTTCTCCACCCATGTTGCAGGGTGCTAGATGTTTGTCAGGCCAGCTGAACATAGAAATTTCTGTTGATTTGCCCAAAAAAGTACAAAATTTCATTGTTGAAACAAAAAATTTCCTTTTTTTGCCTGCCAGAAAAGTTTTGAGCCCCCTGTGACATTGGTGGATCAAACTCGTCAGGCCAGCTGGAAATTGATGTTTATTTGTTGCTTTACCCATTATCCAAATTGTACAAAATATCATGGTTAAACAAAAAAAAATTTCATACTTTCACTGACCTGAACATTTATCAACACCTTGTGAGATGGGTGGACCACTCTAGCCATAACTGGAAATTTTCACTCATCAACATCAGCATGCAGTGAATTGAAATTTAATTTCCTAAAATCAAATCCCAGAACTTCAACATATATTATGGGCTATATCATGATTTTCTTTGTCATACCTAGCGTAGAAATACCCAAGGTCGCGCCCAAGTGTGACAACCCTCGCAAAATAAAGCTCCAAAAACAAAATTTCCAGAAAAATCAACAGCCAGGAAAAAACTGGTTTGGTTCTTCAGCGGACAGTAGAGGTCGCACGCATCACATGAAAAAAAAATGACCCAGCTCCATCATAATCGTCCTCATAGTTGAAGATGGGTAGGTGTCACTCCTAACCTATCCTAACACCACACCGCGATCATAGGAAAAGACGGAAACGCAAAAAAAAAAAAAAAAATCAACGGCAGTTGATGAACAACAAGGATCAAGAGTGAGAAACATGCCTCACTCCTGCAAAGCATCCACGATATCACACATGAGCTTATCAAGCGGGAGACACGCGTGGTGGTGGTGCGCCATTAGTGGCGACGACACAGCCGACTTCCCACAGCCGCCGCCGCCAGTGGGACGACTGCCAGTGACGAGGGCCGGGAGTTGTTCGAGGAGGGCGGCCAATCTGGCGTCCGCGTTCGAAGCGGCGCCAGTGGAGTTGGGCAGGGCTGTGACAGTTTGCTTGAGAATGTCCACCACGTTGTCCACGTGGTCGGCAAACCTGGCTGCGATCCGCAAACGCTGCTCCTTCTGCTCAGCCAGCATCCCGCGGAGGTTCTCTCGGGCCTGGTGTGGTCGGAACTCGTTCACCTAGACCAAAAAAAATAAATACACACACGTCAATTACAATTGCTAACTCAAACTTCACAAATTCGATTTTTTTAAAATCATCTTCCCCAAGAAACAGTGCATTAAAAACATCTCCAACTCAAGATTAAGCCATTTCCTCTCAAAACCTCCACAACTCAAATTTTCTGAAGACATTTCGGCTATTATTTTTTTATTGACAAAGGAAAGAGAACGTTCTGAAAATAAGTGTAAGACTAAACTGGGCAAATAAACCGTTGCCTTCAAGTTCAGCATGGTGTAAACTTGTATGAAAAGCAAGTCATGGCCCAGAATATCCCCATTTACAATTTCTGCAATTCTTTTATGTATCCCCACAGCAAAAATGCTTGTTATCCTAAATTGAAACCTCCATAAGTCAACCTTTTTTCTGATGGTCCCTTGAAATTTGACTTAAAGAGGTTTGACTGTTTACATACAGTTGAACATCTTTAAGTCAAATTTCTGGGGACAAGGAAAAAAAATTGGATTAGGGAGGTTTTGATTTTTTGAGTGAAGGAAACAAACGTTTTGGCTGCAAGGAAGAGTAAAAAAAATTGTAGGAAATTGAAAATGGGGATATTCTGGGCCTAAACTTGCTTTGTGATGAGTTTACAGCTTGCTGAACTAGGAGGCAGGGGGTCTTTTGTTAAATTAGTCTTTCACTTCAATTCAAGATGCCTAAAATCATTTGTTTTGTTGACTTTCTCTTTCATATTCCAAGGAAATAATAATCATAAGCCCTCAGAAAATTTGACTCACAGCGGCTTGAGAGAAAAATAATTTGAGTTAGGGAGGTTTTTAATGCATTGTTTCTAAGGGAATCCAGACAGGGACCTGAAAAAAATTTGAGTTGGGGAGGTATTTGACTTAGGGAGGTTCAACTTAGCAAGGTTCAACTATATATATATATATATACATATTTCTCTCACTGCTGACAGTGATTGATGGCATTGCATTGCCACTCCTCTGAAGTAAGGATTTAAAGAGAAATATCACCTTGTGCATATTGTGTGTAATCTTGCTGCATATCTTGGAATATGTATCAAAGTGTCTTTTCATGAGAACCAGAACTCATGATTGCTCAAGGAAACTGGGAGGTCCTTGATTCCTTGTAGGTATAAATATTACCTACACTGTTGAATGTTTCTCAGAATTAATCTAGAGTCCATTACGGTTGTTTCTCAGGAAGACTTTCAGCCATTCAGCAAGACTTATTCCATTTATATTTGTTTGGCTAAAAAAGACTACCACAAAATATATCTTGTGTATTTTGTCTTGAATGTTCATGATTTAATTTCAGTCAGTGAAGCCAAAACAAGGAAAAAGCCTTGTCAGAAAAAATTAATTATAATGAAACCCCATCAACTTTATGGTGGCTCTTGGACAGGGACCAACAAAACAATTTTATTGCAAGCAGAACTTTTTTAATAAAAGGAAATTCTACAGTACAAAATACTTGAGCATTTATGGAAGAATGAATGAATATAAATGTACCAGTTGGTGCATGTGAAGGAATAGGACAGTGATGTCCTCGATTTTCTCCTTCCGCTTCGCCGCTTCCGGGCACTTCATGAGCAGGTCCAACAAGTCCAGGAAGTTGACGAGCACGGAACAGTTGAGCTTCTTGAGCTCCTTTTTAGGGTCGAAGTTTTGCGGATACAACCGGCGAATGTTCTGCATCTCCAATGGCCGCACTATCGCCTCATCCACCTTGAAACATTCAGCAAAAACAATCAATCATTTGTTCAAGTCAGTGACATAAATTCAGAGTTTGAAAAGAAAAAGTGGATCAAAACTTGTTCACATTTCCATATTGGATTAAAAGAAAAAAAAATAACTTGGTACAGCCACAGTTGACTGATTTTTGGAGTTTTTATTTCATTACCTGAGCAAAGTACTTGAAAACTTGTGCTTGCTTATTTTTCAATTCAATTCTTCTTCATGCCTTCAAATAGAGAAAATAATCATTTTATTCAATTTTTTGGGGACTTTTGCCTAATTTTTCTTGAATTCAAGAACCACTTAAAACATTCCCAATGAAGTCTATGGGAAAATGTGATCCAACATGCGGACATTCCAACACAAGGGACCAGCTCCAAGCACCAATCACATCCACATCTCAGAGGCCCCAACTATAGAGTGAGACACTGAGATGCAGACACAATCATTGCATCAAGAGTGCCTTAACTCAAGTCTCATTTTCCCAGAGACTTAGATTATATAATTTTCAATTGGTGTTTTATGGACTAAATACTTGCCATAATTCCATGAAAATAAAAATTGTCTCCCAATTGAAACTGATTCAATCAATATATTTCAACACAATATTGAAATTTGGGGAATTGAATACTGATACCTCCGTATAAAGTACAGTACATAAAAATGTTGGCATTCTCCGTAAAAATAACATTCAAGTGAAAAAGAGAGAAGGAGGTCCCTCTACGCTGGAGGTAATTTTTTTTAAATTAGCTAAATGGGTGGTGAATAGGTGAGAGAAATGCCCAAGAACTTTTCTTGCATCAATTTTAGGGTTGGAAATACCTGCTTCTTGTGATTTGGCCTGAAACTTATTTGCAATTCTATCACAAAATGTCATGTTGAGCCTTTTTTATTAATTTTTTTGGGAAAATGAGTGTCCCTATGTTGAATTGTCCGCATGTGGGGGTCTCACTTTATTTTCCTTCCTGAATGCCTGTGGAAGAAATGCGTCAAGTTCCAAATCTTCTCTGGTAAAGGTATTGTACCTGGTAAATCTTGCCAAACATGCAGTACGAGTCGTCGGCTAGTGGCGGCAAAGGCCACCGATTCCGCCGCCGGTTCTCGTCAGTGTACAACTTGGCGTATTGCATCGGCGGCGGCGGGAATATCGAGTCCTTTCCTCCTCCGCCTCCGCCGCCGCCACCGCCGCCCACGCCGACACCCGGAGGCACACCCAAGCCAGCACCGCCTCCCGGACCAGCACCATTACTTCCCGGCATCGGCGGTAACCCACCAACACTACCGCCGCCGCCACCCATGCCAACCGGCGCCATCATGGGATGCCCAAGGCCGCCAGTCGTCGTCATCATTGGCCCGGCGCCGAGTCGCATGCGAGACATAAACTGCGGAGGCGGCTGTTGATGAGACAGCGACATCTGGTGAGGTTGTTGGTGTTGGAGAGGAGGCGCAAGAGGCGCCGCGTGCGGGTGTTGCGGCGTCGGACGAGGGCCCATGAACATGCCCATGTCCGGGGCTCGGAAGCGGCGGATGGCCGGTGGGCCAGTCACGCCGCCACGGCGTCCCCGGGGACGCATCCCGCGTCCCGCCGGCGGCCGCACGCAGAAGGGCTCCAATCCGAGGCGGTGGTGGTCCATCATGGTCGTCCTCGTTTGTCCGTGGTACCACCCCGGTGGTGGTGGCGTGTTGGTCCACTGCTGTCCCGCATCCACTTCGTCGCTAGCGGCACTCGACCGACTTTCTTTCCCTCCCTTTTTTTTTCAACCCCACATTTCGCCACTGTTCTTTTCAAGAGACAAAAACAAATATTCACAAACACACACAGAAAGCTTCAGATAACCACCATCATATAAAAAAATAAATAAACTTGGAATAACTTGAGAGGGACTTATGTGATGAAGGCAAAAACCAAAGGGGATATCTTCAGGATTCTTTCATTTAAAAGAAAAAAAAACATACAGTGAGACCCCCAGATACAGACAATTCAACATAGGGACACTCATTTTCCCATAAAAAATTAATAAAGAAGGCCCAACATGAGGACACTGACTCAACATAGGGACTTTTGTGATGAAACTGCAAATAAGTTTCCAGCCAAATAACAGATATTTCAAAACCTAAAATTGATGTAAGAAAAGTTCTTGGGCATTTTGCTCACAATTTACCATCCATTTAGCAAATTTTAAAAAACTCACCTCCAGCATTGAGGTACTTCCTTCTCCCTTTTTCACTTGAATTTTATTTTTACAGAGAATGCCAACATTTATATGCCTTGTATATGGAGGTAGTGGTATTCAATTCCCCAAATGTCCAGATTGCTTCAAAGTACTGTATATTGATTGAATCAGTTTCAAATTGGTAGACAATTTTCATTTTCATGGAATTATGGTGAGTATTTTGTCCATAAAAACCAATTAAAAATTATATAATGTAAGTCTAAGGGAAAATGAGACTGGACTTGAAATATACAGGGACATTTTGAGTTTGGGACACTTTTTTTAGGGCTTCCACGATTAATAAACCCCTTGTCGAGACAAGTTTCTCAACTGATGATAATTCCCACTCGGTTCACTCATCACAAGTTTGCCTCCATCTCAACATTTTCCCACGCGAAAAAACAAACCGTCAACTAGAGGGACACGTTTCCAGTTTAATCATCGCTCATTTCATAAAAAAAAATCTCTCCTCCACGAGAGCAGAAAATGGAGTCCACAGTCCAAAAAAAAACCATCATCAAGATCACCGCACTCGGGCCGCAAAAAAAGAAAACAAAAAACATTGAACCGCAGGAATAAATTAATCCCTATCGCATCCACAGCAAAAATAAATAAATAAAACAAAAATTTAAGAACGCAATGGGAAGCATAACTGCAGTATCACAACTTCCTCGGCTTCTTTTTTTTCTGAGAAAGAGAGAGCGAAAGTGAAATAAACAATCCAAACCACAAGAGGAGGCAAAGTATAAAACCATTCTTGTCAAAGCGGGGGGGATGTCAAGACATCAACAAAAAGTAGAATAGAGAAAAAAGGCAACAACAAATATCGGAACATTTTAATGTCAGTGACTGAGCAAGAACCGAAGCTTTTCGCTCTTGGGTTCCGTCAGCGTATCACAGACTTTGCGGGCGGCGGCGGCAGTGGCGGCGAATCGATCGACCTTTTCCGGTGGTGGCGGTCGTCGTCGTCGTCCTCCTCGACGTCGTCATCCCACAATGTTAGGGAAGTTGGCAAAGGAAAACGAGGTCGGACCGGGCGCCCCGGACGTCTGTGCGGACGAGGCCGCCGCCGCCGCTGATGACGACGAGGACGCCCCAGCCTGGCTCGACGACGACTGCGCGGCAGACTGGGACGTCTTTTGGCCAGCTTTCCGCGCTGCCGGCGGCTTCAGGTAGTCGTGGTTTGCCAGTCCAATGGCGTCGATCCGGTCCTCCTTCTTGTACTGGAGGCAAGACTTGATGAAGTCCTGAGAGAAAAAAAAAAAAACACAACACCTGACGTCAAGAATTGCGGTCTTAAAAAAAGGAAATCTCATGCAAAATTTCAAAACCCAGGTACTCCAACATGTTTTCTTTCTGCACTTCCATATGCACAACAGGATAAAATGGTTTTTCAAGCGTAGATGTCGCCTCTATCACTCAAAAGGTACCTAGTATAGTACAGTGAGACCCCAAGATGCAGACATATTTGGTTCATCAAGAATGTCCCTAAGCCAAAATGTCCCAAAGTTGAGTCTCATTTTCCCTTAGACTTACATCATATAACTTTTAATCGGTGTTTTATGGAAGAAATACTCACCATAATTCCAGGGAAATAAAAATTTTCTCCCAATTTCAACTGATTTCAGTCAATATATTTCAACACAATATGGATAATTGGAAAATTGAATTTTGATACCTCTGTACAATACATATAAATGTTGGCATTCTATGTAAAAATAACATTCAAGTGAAGAGAGAAAGAAGTCCCTCTATGCTGGAGGTAATTTTTTTTAAATAAGCTAAATGGATGGTAAATTGGTGAGAGAAATGCCCAAGAACTTTTCTTACATTATTTTAGGGTTGGATATATCTGTTTCTTGTAATTTGGCCTGACTTGTATTTGCAATTACATCACAAAATGTCGGATCAGTGTCCTCATGTTGGGCCCTTTTTTTAAATCAATTTTCCATGGGAAAATAAGTGTCCCTATGTTGAATTGTCCGCATGTCGAGGTCTTCTACATGTGGGAGTCTCACCGTATTTGTATTCGCAGGAATTTTTTTTTTTCAGAGGAAAACAAAACATTGATGCAAAATGCAACTCACCTTGGCCTCCTGGGAAACAGTAGGCTTGGACGGGAACTGAACCTCGGTAGCTTTTAAAATAGTATTCTGCTCCAAAATCGTCGCCTGGCTTTGGTTATGTCCAAACGGCTACAAAAATAAACGAAAACATTTATTCTTCACGGCTGAAACAAATTCAGGATATAAAACAAATATGAACACCATCGAGTATATTCAAGCGGAAACAGCCGTTGATTAGAAGATACGCTCAAGTTTTCTTTCCCTTGAAAAGTGGAACACATTTATTTTACCGTGCGGATATTCCTTCATAAACAAAAAGAGTCAATCAGTGGCAAATACGTTTCTGTTGGTTGCTCGATCTTCTACAGAACAATTGCAATAAATTAATATTCTCGTGCCATCGGCAGCAGAGATGTTCACAATTCAGTTTCCAGACTTCGTCTCATTCAAGATCGCGGTAGACAAGAAGACTTCGTTTACTGTAATTCACATTCAAATCCCCCACTCGATTAGATAAGGTACACGACACATCCGGACTTTTTGGACTCGTCTTTAGCAAGAGAAATTCGTGTTTTACAGTAGAAAAGCATGGTTTATTCCGAGTATTTTCAGACACTCACCTTCCTTCCATACAAACACTGGTAAAATATCACACCGACGCTCCACACGTCCACCTTGGAGGAAATCTTGGGCGGCGTCTTGCCCACGACGAAACACTCGGGAGGAAGATACCTGCGTCACCCACACACACACACGCACATTT